TGCGGGTTGGTGCAAAATCGGGTATACCCCAAGATGTTAATTTCAAACACAATAACCGACATCACGTGGGGAAAATCTGCTGGATTCTAAAGACAAACTTGGTCTGAAAATTGCGCATTCTCCCAAGTTTGGCAACCAAATATATTATGGGGAATATGATTATTGGCCAGTGGATTTGCTTGGTTGGTCCTTTTTCTTGACAAACCCATGTGGATACTGTACATATATATATATATATTCATTACATAGTTGTTTTGGGATGTTTTTGGGTTGTGAATTGCAAATTAAGATATGCTTGTAGAATGGATTTTAGGTTTTTGGCAGTTGTGTATATAATCATATAAACCGTATACATCATATTGGGATATATGATATACATTGATATTCCATATCAAATGGGGAAATAGAAAACAGCCAAAGATGTGCATAAAACCAAGATCCTGTGTAAGATGACGCCACTCAATTGGATACTTTGAGGCGCCACTCCTGTGGATTGATTGGTGGCGAGTTCCCATCCAGTCATCATATGCTAGGATTTTTGTTGCCCAACAATGTATCAAAACGCGCATATATACATACTGTACATATATACATACATATATATATATATGTACATATATATATATATATACATATGTAGATATATTATATATATATATGTATATGTATATATATATACACGTATATACGTATATATATATATATGTATATTATACCTCAGAGTTTTCATATTTTTTTCATTGCCCACATCTTCCCATTTGTGTTTATCTGATTTTTTGGGGAAAACCCTAAATCAATGATTTTATCATCAATTTTCCCTACTAACTTGCGATAAACAGGGGTATACCCCATTTTCAGACACAGCCAAATACCATAATGTTGGTGGTAAGTATATACCGCAAGATATATATCCTCAATATATCTTCATTTGGACTTCAATATCCACATAAACTGGTTGATTTTATACCTCAGCCATCCCTATGATTGGTGGCAAAATCCCTTATGAATGTCATCCCTGGCGCCAGATGTGCAAGATGTTGCGGCAGCACGGGAGAAGGATGCGCCGAAATGGATTTGTTTTTGATGGTCAATCATCAAAGGCACCCAAATAAAAATTGACCACGGAACCCTAAAAATAGCTATATCATATGATCTCCAAAAGGAACATCACTTTCCAGAACCTTTTTTTTGATTCCATGATTCCATGTTGGACTTAGGATGATTTATATGTATATATATAATATATATATAACGGCAGTGTAACCAACGATCTTTGAGCAAGAAAGATTGATAGAATTCCGAAGCCATTTAAATAGATGGAAAACACTTGTGGAAAAGCATTAGATACATGGCACATGCCCCGCGCCCGAGTTGACATGAACCTTGCCACTTATTGGGGTTGCAAGACTACTTACTACTTTCCAAAATTAGGATGGCAATTCTCAGGGTCTATTTTAGTTTGGGGGAATGGTGACCAACAAAGCTAATTTCACAAAGACTCAGCAAAGACTCAGCAAACATTGTGATGTGGCCATCAAGGATTCTCACGAAGGTATGGGGACGTTACCTTAAACCATGGTCGGATTTGACCCGCGAAGCTGGGGACTATAACTGATGGGTTCATTTGGTGGCAACGGTCCTGATTTCAACAACTGCATGTGCAGGCGCATTTGAGATAGTATGATTGTATTTTTTTCCGGAATGAGTGTTTGTGAACCAGAAAAAGGGTCAAACATGACAGACTCTATGTAAACAATGTATATGTATATATATATATACACATGTATATCTATAAACACATGTAACTACATATCAGTATAAGTGATATATATATATACATATATATATACATATTAATATACAATATATATATACATATATACACAATTGGTGGGGAGGGTAGATGGATAGATACACAGGTCCAACCACAAAACGTTGGCGACAGATCGAGTCACAAAAGACTTATGAGAACTTGTCGAATTTGTAGGTTTTCCTGCAGTGATATAAATTTATCTAAAGTTTACAGTCGTATGAAAAAATGATGTTCCCTTTTCGTGAGAGAACATGTTGCAGGTTTCCGTCCACGACTGCCCACTTGCAACAACCAATATGGGTCCACACCCTGCTGTTGTGATTCGGAGATGTGCCCCCTGTTTCATGGCTGTTGGATCAATAGAAGTGCTCCCACTTGTTGGTGGATTCATAGTATAAAAAAAAACGACCTTTGTTTGTTCTTAACTATTGGTATACTATTGGCATTTCCAACCATCCGTATATCCAACCAATCTTTGCATTCCAAGCTTTGAATACATTATTTTGTACAGCGTTTCCAACCATAAGTCAACCATAGTCTAACCATAGTCCAATATTTTTTTTTGGGATATGTTTTATTTCTCCAGTTATTTTGTCAACATCTGCAGGAGAAGATCCTCGAGAAACAGTCGCTCGCAGTGGGATGATCGTATTTGGATGTCCACAAAAGAACGGAGACCGGATCTAAGGATCTAATGGGATATTGTTTTATGGTATTTTAAGGTATTTTATAGGTAAATTGGGGGAAAGAATAGTGGCTAAAAGAGAAATCACCCAACGAAATGGAAGTTTGAATTGGAACATCATTTGCCATTGCCATGAAAAAACATGTATATAGTATGTATATCATTGTATATCATTGTCTCATGTCTCCAAAGTGAAGGTTTGAAGGTTGCGAATATTTTCGGCGCAGAATCCATCAGTCGTTGCATCCCAGCGTGTTCCACGCCTGAGGCATGTCATGAACGAGAACCGCATCCACGAGAATCTTGTCATAGAGATGTCAGACATTCATGGTGTTGTCTCAGACATTCATGGTGTTGTTGGTAGGTCATGGGTCCATGGGTATGTCACCTCTACTGTTTATGGTTTGTTGTTGGAAAGATGTATTCAACTGACAGCATACGACGCAAGTGATGCTGGGTCGCTCAAATGAAGGTGATTTCAATAACCAGCCATCATTGTTGAGTCAGTATTCAAACATCCTCACAGTCTGTTGGGGACCGTTTATCATTTGTTGCTGATTATCCAATGACTTGACCGTCTATCTCGTGGCTAAAAATATTCACAAAATTGTGGCTTCGATCCCATTTTGGGGGGTGGAAGAATATCAGTTCAAACCCCATCGATTTGGATTTCTCTGAGAATATGATACCTCCAAATGGTCGAGTTTCTCCTCAAGTTTCCGGAATGAACATGCATTGTTTGGGCTATACCAAACACCATATCAAAAAATATATATATATTGACTTTGCCCCCAAAAGTTGGGATATTTTCCATATCCTCCTTTTTGTTGGGAGATGGAGGCTTAAGGTATATATATATATCATCAGCATATATCATGTCCCCATGAGATGGTGAATTTTAATATGAATTTATACCTCAACTATTCTGAACTAGCTCTTGTTGGTGCCTAAATAGCCCAAACGATAGCTAATTTGCTTCATAACTATAAGAACTATGCTTTATGGTAGATATATTATGGTATATTTTTAATTATTAATCAACATCCCCATGAAAATCCCAATGATTGGCAAACTTCCCCTTAAATTTACAGAGCTTCGAGGCTCTGCGCGTCGCTCATCAAGGCTGAAAGCAGAGCAGAACACCTGCAAATAGGTCTGGGATTCACTAATCATTGGGTGGGATGTATTGGGAATTACCCCCTGGTAAACTAACAGTTAGCTATTTTTCAAATGGCCCAGTCGAAATATGTGGAGTTTTCCCATGAAAAAAAAGGTGATTCCATTGGGTATGAATTGACCATGCTTTTTGAACGGTTAGCTTAACGCTGCATTTTATCCCATTGAACCATGAAAAATGGTGAGTCAATGGGATATAATGGGGATAGAACCTACGTGTGTGTGCTGCCGTTTTTTGTTTTATTGTAAATTGGTAAAACCATGGTGATAACCTTCATAAGGCGGGAGTACAACCCCTATATCCACTTACAACTGAATTTGCACCCCCAACTTCCCTCTGGTACACCAACATCCAAAGGATTATTAATCCATTTCCCCCAACGGGGACGATCTACAAATCGTGGATTTTCAACCAATGAAAATCATGGATTTTCCATGTCCACGTTAGTTTGCTAGAGGGTAAGCAATCAAACTATCTGCGGGGGACTTAATGGGATACTTTCAATATGCTCTATATGTTCTAACCCCAGTCAAACTCGGATTTAATCCTTGCTAGATCTTGTTAGAGGATGACGACTTCAGTTCTTGCCCTAAGTATATGTGGTTGGTGGCTGAAAGAATTGTCCCGGCGGGTTGCATCACTTGCTCATGGGCTATGGATCAAGAAGTAAGGCTTAGGGGACCGCAGGGTTTGGTCATTTTCCTGCAGATATGGAAACGGTGCGTCCATATCATAACGAGCTCCAGTCGAACCCGAAGTCGAACCTCCTCCCCCCCTCCCCCCCACAAAAAAAATACAAAACCAACAAATGCGCAGACAATGTTTGGTCAACCAAAGCAAAACCCGAACCCGAAGTCGAACCTCCGAACCCGAAGTCGAACCCGAAGCCGAACCCGAAGTCGAACCTCCTCCCCCCTCCCCGCAAAAGCAGAAGCCGAAGTCGAATATCTCAGTTTCTTGTATGTATACATGTGCACATGCACATTTATGCATACCCACAATCTTCCATAAGGAATGCTGCTCAGTTGAACTGAGATTGGCCATGGCCATCCCCTGACTGATGGGTGCTGACCACGCCGCCCACTTTGGCTCCGAACATGTCAAAAGCAACAGAGGTTTCAGGGGGGAAGACAGCTGCCAAAAACAGGATACATCTGACATTGGCCCAATGGAAAAAAAACAAATTCCATAAACATCCAGAAAGCTATCATTTAGGGTGTATATATATATATATATGTGTGTGTGGTGGTTTGTTTTCTACCGGCCATTTACATTAAAGATGGCTTCATTTACCACATACAACTCTGTTCGGGGCCAACGAGGCCATGCAGGGGGTGGATCATTTCTACAACGCGATGCGCGAGCGAGATATCAGGCCTGGAAAACCAGCCATCCTCATATGAATTCCTACAATTAATCTGGTTGGTGGTTTGGAACTCCGTAGCCATTTTGGCTCAAGCTGCGGGCTCAACTCCTCCCAGTCGGTGCAGCGGGGCTGGCCAAACGTTGAGAGGTTTGGTCATCTAGCAATGGTTTTTCCCTTTGTGCTTTAGCCTTGGCCTGTGTTGCCACACCTGGTTTGCCTCGTATGGTGATGTGGTGCTTTGTTGTTTGGCTGATGGTCCGTCCCTTGGTGCGGCTCGTGCTGTCAGCTGGACAGACTGCAACAGGTGTGAGGCTACCCCGGGACATTGTGACTGAGCAGTTTAGTTCCAAAATGGTTCAGGCTATGGTGGGTGCTCCTCAACACGACCTAGTTTTGGGTTTACTTCTCTGGATGTGATTGGGGTCCCCTTCACTTTCGCTTCTGGTTGGCCCCCAGGATCTGGCTAGGCCTTGGAACACTTCACAACGTATGTTATCCAGATGGTGAGTGGCAGCCTGGGGGGCTTGAAGGAGGTTTGAACAGTGGCAGTTATAGCGCCGGACAACTACTTAGAACATCGTTTTGGAAATTTTTCGGTGGGTACGCGCGCTCTACTTAGAACATTTTCGGCGAATAGGGGGACGTATGTTCTAAGTGACTTAGAACATATGAGGATCCTCTACTTAGAACATGCCATCATATATACATGTAAATATATGTATATGTATACATACATACAACTTAACACTGCATATTTATATTATATATACAGGTGGTGTGATGTTGCGTTAAGATACATGGAGATGACTATATTGAGGTATATTGAAATTATATGACCGATTGAGCGGTTGGAATGGTCCAAAGCCTACAGCGGGACGAGATTCGAGATAAATAGGTACATATATTGAGCTGAACAAAATGAGCGAATGGATCCGGATGCTCTAGGTGAGAGGCTACAATTCGAACATCAGGTTTGGAAAGTTTTTATTATATGAATATATAGTGCCGGACAACTACAATATTAAAAAAATATTATATATACACAGGATTTTCCAAAAATGCACGTAGATAGCTGGGGAGATTCTTACTTAGAACATGGGGGAACCCCCAAAACCTCTACTTAGAACATCCCGTGAACATATATGTTCTAAGTAGTGGTCCAGGATCTCTACTTAGAACATGTTTTGGAATTCCAAAACCAATGTTCTAAGTATATGTCCGGCACTATATAGTTTGCGCATGGGCCCTGTCCCTTGCTTGGCTTCGGTGATGCTGTTTCGATTTGCGCCTTGTCTCTGGGCATCGTGGCTGCTCAAGCACCTGCAAGTAGCTGTGAAGAGATTGTGGGACTTACTTTCCCACGTGTGGCCGAACAAGATGAAGGTAGCTCACGATTTGATTGACACCGCAGTGCGGTTGTCCTGCAAGTGTACGATAATGCAAATGCCCCTTCCTTCAACGGCGGCTGTTAGGCAACCTAGTCTCGGTTGTCTGCAACGGTTTGTCTGTGCCCTGACCTGCAGGTACACTGACTGAAACACCCCGGAAATCGGGCTGCTTTCGTTTCACTAAGGCAGCGCGGAACACAAAGTGGTGAACAAAGTGGTGGTTTGGAACATTTTTCCATATATTGGGAGTAATAATCCCAACTGATTGATATTTTTCAGAGGGGTTGAAACCACCAACCAGCAATGGTCAATTTGGGGATGGTGGATCCGATTGCTGATGCCAACTGAGACTGGAGCCATGTGAACCACAGACTATGGTCGAAAGCCTTTTAATGCAAAGGTGCCCCCCAAAGAAAAACACATACTTTGGTCATGACCCTGATGAACCCTGGTTAATGGTACTCAGAAGAGAAAATGATGATTTTTCGGACAGTTCACGTTGATATGAACGCTTTGCTCAGATGTTTCTGAATTGATGGGTGCTGATGTTGAGGTGTTTCGTGTTTGTACCCTTTTCTTTATCTTGGGTGCATCGACCAGATTTGACAGTCAATTGATGATGACAATCCAAAGCATTGACTCAACACAAGTAGGATCATTTTGGCCAATGTTGAAGAAACGTCTTAATCCATTCACTGTCCGGGACTTCATTCGATGTTCCGAACCCTTGGCAGGCACGAGTACCACATTTTGCGTTGCAACGTATGCCACAAGGAGCGCGGCCGGATACATTCAAGCAGCGGATGTAATGTAATATGTGACAAGCAAACTGAACGATCTATCTATGAGTTAAGCAATGTAATTGCGTATCTATCTATATATCCACATAATGTGCATACTGCACACATAGTTAATGATTTGTACAAGTAATATACACATGTTCATGTCCACTTTCATGTGCACAATTGTACATGTATGCAATGTAATGGAATGTAATGTAATATAATGTAATGTAAAGCAATGTAATGGAATGTAATGTAATCTAATGTAACGTAAAGCAATGGAATGGAATGTAATGTAATCTAATGTAATGTAATGTATGTAAAAAAACACTGTACATATGTAAATGGAAGTGGACATGAACATGTATATATAATATGCAGTATATGGTATAGCAATTTACTTGCATTACATACACACTGCCTGAGTTCGCAATACCTTTGTACTCTTCTAGTGTTACAGAAAGGCACTGTGGTTGTGCAGCCTGTGCAGCTGCAGATCTGTTGCAGTCAAGCGGGTTTCCCGGTGGAACATGTGGCAACGGTGGAGTCAAGCGGTAAATCCAACATAACAATAAATCATGCAAACAAAAAGGCAGAAACGGATGATCAAAAGTAAACCATCCTCATTTGGTGGTTGAAGGCAGACATTGTCAGATCGTTTGAGATTGCAGGACATTAAGGGCTTCATGCAACAGCAGCATGTGGATGCTCTTGATATTTTCTGCGATCATATCCGTGGAAAAGACCACCAAAAAAAGGCACCGTGGTCGTCCTTGTCGGAGCAGGAGTGTATACCCCCTGGACTTAAATGATGAGGTACAGATAGGTGTTTCAAATTTTAAACAAAATCGCAAGTTTATAGAGAAGAGCAAGAAGTTATTGCGGATTTTCTAAGAGAAGCGCAAAAAAAATGGATCTTTGTGGGGTGCTGTCCGCAAGTCTGCCCATCCACCAGGTCTTCAACATGTACGGAATCTACTCTATATGATGGTTTACTTCCAACTTTGTCCATCTCAAATGATGCACTTCATGGACATACACGTACAGATAAGGTCGATATGTGCAAAGTATGTGTAATTGTGTTTGTTGATACATTTATTATCATGTATTTTCCTATCTATACATTATCCCATACATATCCCCTGGCGATAAAATGTAAATAGGCAAAATTTGCATAATATATATATACACACACCTTATATCATACTTTAGACATATATATCTTATATATCTATATATCACACACACACACACATATATATATAGTTTATTTTTACATTGTGTTATATTGTATCTAAAACAGACATGTACGCACATGCATTTCCATCCATCCAGGTGAAGCATCTCAGTGAGAACGATTTGTGGCAGCACTTTGAAGCGGCCAAGGAAACAGATCCAGTTCCCTGGCGCGGTGGTGCGGGGGAAAATGGTGAGTTGATATGTTGAGTTGACTGCCCAGCTTTTTTTGGGGGGAGTTTTCATTTATGGGGGGATTCCAACTGATTACAGGTTTTAATGTGGTGTGTTTTTCCTTCTCGTGAACTGAAGATCACAGATCCCTAGTTGCTATCGAGGACCGATACAAGATTTTACAGCAGGGATTTCAACACTGTTCATGCTGGGCTTGAATGCAAAGACACATTTTCTTCGTGAAATGGACTTCAAGAGAGAGGACTGAAAGTGAGTGTGGAATGGCTAAAGCATGCTAAAGCAATGTTTGCAATTCTGGTGTTGTTCGAAGTTCTCAGAGTATCTCAGAGTGCCCAGTGGGCCAAGCCGATATTCACCCTCCCATGTCATCAAACGTGTCAATGGCAAAATACCCCGCCATTTATACTGTAGGAATTTTCCAGCCAGCTATGTTTGATGACACCAGAGGGTATAAACCCAACATGCATCACTTTTGGCCGGTCCGCGTCCTGAACAAACATTAACACAGATTGGCGATATGCCATTGTATGTATAATAATGTATATAACCGAAGGAAGTTTAGAAGTCAAACTTCCGACAATATGGACAAATGAAAAGCAGAGGTGGGAAGAGTCAGAGAAGAGAAGAAGGAAGAAGATCGGAGAAGAGAAAGAGTCAGAAGAAAGAAGATGCAGGCGCGCGAAAAAGGTAGAAAAGTCGCGAAACACTGTGTTTTTCCAATGTCTTGGGGCTCAGGAGGGTCGAAAAGTAGGCTCGCTAAAGCGGCGGGTGAGGAGCCAGGCAGCCATCTGGCCAGATCAGAGATGAAAAATTGCACGCCGGTGTGGCACGAAGCACATTTCGAAGTCAAAATGTACAAAGCACCAGGTCCGGACCACTTTTGGAAGTTGAGATGTCAAAAAAAATCACGCCGTTGTGGCGCGAAGAACATTTCGAAGTCAAAATGTGCAAAGCACAGCAGGTCCGGACCACTTTTGGAAGTTGAGATGTCGAAAAAGTGCACGCCGTTGTGGCGGGAAGCACATTTCGAAGTCAAAATGTACAAAACACACCAGGTCCGGAACACTTTTGGAAGTTGAGATGTCGAAAAAGTGCACGCCGTTGTGGCGCGAAGCACATTTCGAAGTCAAAATGCGCAAAACACACCAGGTTCGGACCACTTTTGGAAGTTGAGATGTCCAAAAAGTGCACGCCGTTGTGGCGCGAAGCACATTTCGAAGTCAAAATGTGCAAAGCACACCAGGTTCGGACCACTTTTGGAAGTTGTCGCAAAGCACATTTCGAAGTCAAAATGTTCAAAGCACCAGGGATTCGGACCACTTTTGGATGTTAAGATGTTGTTTCGCGTGGCAGGCGCAAGGGATTGTGCACCTTGTCAAAAGTGAGCAAAACTTAAGGGTTTTGTAGCATTTCCAAAAACGATGGCAGGCGTTTTGGAGCATCAGATCTTCAGGTTTGCTGAGATGATTTTGCGTGACAGGTGCAGCACTTCGTATGACCTGGCATCACTTTTTCGTGGGAGGCGCAGCACTTCAGACAGGTGGACTGAAAAAATCGCAAAACGCATTGGTACGATGCCGTCAGCTCTGCACTCAACTTTCCATTTTTGAAGGAAGTGTCGCAGAATGGCTTCGTTTTTGATGTTGTCAACTTTGAAACATGAGGAAGTCTCGCAGAATTGCTTCGTTTTTGACGTTGTCAAGTTCAAAAATTGAGGAAGTCTCGCTGAATTGCTGTGTTTTTGATGTTGTCAAGTTCAAAAATTCAGGAAGTCTCGTAGAATAGCTTCGTTTTCAGCGTGCAGATAGACAGATAGATAGACAGACAGACAGAAAGACAGAGAGAGAGAGAGAGAGAGAGAGGGAGAGAGAGAGAGAGAGAGAGAGAGAAAGAGAAAGAGATAGATAGATGGATGGATGGATAGATAGATAGATAGGCAGATAATGAGATCGATTAGATAGATTAGATAGATTAGATAGAATTGACTAGAATGGAGTAGAATAGAATAGAATAGAACAGAACAGAATAGAATAGAATAGATAGATAGAATTATAGATAGATAGAATTAGAAATAGAATAGAATAGAATAGAATAGTTAGAATAGAGCAGGACAGAATAGAATAGATAGATTGATAGATTGATAGATCGATAGATCGATAGATGGATACATGGATAGATTCATAGATTCGTAGATTCATAGATTCATAGATGGATAGATAGACAGATAGACAGACAATTACAACTACAACTACCACCACACTACAGCTACAAATGCAAATATACCATTGCACTACACGAATTACACTACACTACACTACACTATGTAATTACATCTAATTACACTAGACTACACGAATTACACTAACAACTACAACAACTACTACTACCACAACTACAACTACAATTTCAACTACGCTACACTACACTAAGTACACTGCAGCACACTACAACTACAAATACAACTACAACTACAACCACGCTACATTACACAACACTACACTACACTGATTACATTGCATTCCGCTACGGCTACGGCTACAGTTGCAGCTGCAACTACCACTACATTACATTACATTACATTACATTTACATTACATTACATTACATTACATTCACATTACATTTACATTACATTAACATTACATTACATTTCATTACATTACATTTCATTACACTACACTACACTACACATACTACACTACACTACACGACACGACACTACACTAGCTACACTGCACTACACTACAACTACAACTACACTACCTTACACTAGACTACACTACACTATAGTCACTATACCACACTACACTACACAACACTGCACGACATTACCCTGCATTACACTACACTAGTTACACCACACCACGGCTACAACTACGCTAATTACACTACACTACAACTACAACTCTGCTACACGACGCTACAACTACAACTGCGCTACAGCAGTTGTGGGTGAGGTGACCACTGCAACCATTGCAACCACTCCCACAAAGATACAACTCTAACCACCTTTCGGTCGATCAGTGGATTCGCTCTGCCATCCATGCATATAGTGGATAGTATATAGTGTATATATATATATATTTTATAATGTATATAATGTAAATAGTATATAGTGTATATAATGTTTTTATAATGTATATAATGTATATAATTATATAATGTAAATAATTTATAGAATGTATATAATGTATAAAATGTTTTTAATGTATATAATATAATGTATATAATGTATAGAATGTATATAATTTTTATAGTGTATATAATGTAAATAATGAATAGAATGTATATGCACAGGGATGTTTATTTATCTTTCTATTTTCTTTTTTCTATGGGAACTATTATATACAATACATATCCCTTTAACTCCATTCATACCTACAAATCCTGTGCTATCGTAAAATTCCTGGTGCTGAAATGTATTCCTTCAATTGTGAGGTCTTGATGTCTATGAGGCTACAGTTTTATCATGGTTATATAATTTCCTACGTAGCTCATACCTGTTTGCTGTTGTTCAATCCCTTTCTAGGATGATTTCAGCCCCCTAGTGACTCATACTGTATTGGACAAACAGAGTGTTTCTTTCTTTCTTGATTGCAACCCTTCGAAGTTCATATTGGAGTCCCAAATCCTGGCAAAAACCACATAAACCCACGGGTCACTGGTACGTGTTTGCTACGAAGGTATGGCTTCACCATGCCAACGGCTCGGTCTTTAAAGGCCGAACTCGCTGGGCGTCGCGGGATGACGACCAAGGTATCATGGGGTTATACGGAACTGACCACGAAATTTTCGGATTGGATTTTGACCAAATTCGGTCTTTTCCGGGGGTTGCTACAACATGCTATCGGAACGGCACAGCCAGTCATCAACAGACAGGATTGAACAAAGCCAATCTATACACTATACTATACAAAAGAAGCAACCTCACAGCGGCAGAACATTGTTTAGTTCTTATGTGGCAGGTTGTTGCCACAGTGCAAGGAAAAGCGCGCGTGCTTTCTCTCTCTTTCTCTCTTGGAAAGCACTTCTGCATTCCAAGCCATCCCCCCACAAAGGGTATGACAGAAATCGCATCCAATTGGGCCACCGTTAGTGACACTAATCAATGAGCAGCCGCGTTAGTGCTTGAGCCACCGATTTTCCGAGAAATTCTTTGACCCAGGTGGCTGGCGTTACAGACCCTGGCACGAGGACACAGATGAAACCAGGAGCCGTGGGAAAAACACCTGCAGGTTGATGATCACATATAACATATAACTGTGCGGGGTATAGTAGGGATGATATGACGGATATATTTTACATGTATTATATGATATGATGGGTTACATACGCAGCAACATTAGATTTTAAGTTGGTTGACGATTATATGGGGTTATACTAGCCATTACAAGCCAAAATCTTGGGGATGATGGATCCATTGACTGGGAATCCCCACCATTTTACCAATATAAAAGGAGGACATTTCGGATTTTGAACACTGCTCACATGGGGATCCGGGACGGGTCTATGCCTGTAAGGGGTTCCCAAACATTTTTGCTGTCCATCAGTTAATCACTAGGATTTTTTTTCACTGAATTACAGTGATATGATTATCCCAAAGATAAAGAGTCAGCTTGGTGTTCTGGTTTCATCTGGGTGCTGGAGCAGGAAAGCTACTGACTCGCTGGTTTCATCTGGGTTTCCCATCCCCTGGCTGGGGCTTTAGGACACTGGACTGGAGCCTCTGGCAGAAGGTTTGCAACCTCCGCGAATGGCGCTTCGGAGAGTATCTGGGATAGAAAGGAGCAGATTAGCGTGGCACAATGTGATATGTCATGGCATAGTATTCAAGTTGATGGCCACTCAAGACCGACCATAATTTCTTTTGGATCGCGTGATGTTTTGTCAGGCAGTGGCAAAGGGCAACCCCGCCACTGTTTATCTGACTATGTCCATGTATGTCCCAAGAATATCCAGAAATTGGATGAAATCCTTGGCGTGTTCACCTTCATCAACTACTCACTGGCGGTTTCATGTTTGTTTCCCGATCTATCCCACCTGGGATGATCGGAGGCAGCTGTTCACCAATCCAATCCCCTAGCTGCCCTTAGTACAATAGCCCTCAGAACCTTTGTTCTTGTACTGAATCCATTCCTTTCTGGGGCAACTTATAGGAGAATTCAATATATTCGGAGCCCGAGTGCGGAGCCTGTTCGAAGAGACGAGCCGCTTTTGTTCTCCACAACAGATACGTCGGATTTGTTTTCTTCATGGTTAAAATAGCATTGGCCCAACGCCCATATGGAGGCACTGACACAGTGCATTTAGGTTTATATATTCCTGAATCGCACGCGCCGATACCTTCATATTTTACAGCTTTCATCAGCTTTCTTGATTTAAGGATTGTGCATCCCATGTGGAACGAACTTCGCCTGTCATCATCTTTCGACGGTCTGAGGTCGCTCACGCGGTTCCTTCACCCATCGGATCTTTGGCAGAAAGCGAATGACGAAGGCGTTGGTGGTTTGAAACGCCGACCCGAACTATGGGAATGCAGTTGAGTTCAGTTGAGGTTACTTTTATTTAATATAGACCTATAAACGTCACAAGTTGAGCTATAACCTCTATAACTTGACCTATAACTATGCTGGTTTTACATCCACTTATAACTATGCTGGTTTTGCATCCAAGTATCCCCTCGCCCCTTTGCCAAGTTTTGGTGAAATTAAAAGGAAGCTGTCCGAGGGACCATTCATTCCTTTGCACTGAGAATCTCTCAGCGATGGCTTTGTGATTGAGGTAAGTATGCGTGTCTTGCAGCAGAGTTACTGTTTTTTAATGACCTATCCCAAGGATCAATGACTTACAATTTCAAACCAGATTTCTGTTAATTTTGGATCTGTTTAATGGTGTTCAGTCATTATCCCAAAGTTCGGTTTGGGGATGGCTCGGAGTCGGTCCAGATTCGTGGAATGAGAAGAAAGCAAGGTATGTTGCAACATGACCACAGATACCACAGTGAACGGCAGATAACAGGAGTAGCATTTTGGTGTTTGAGATTGTTTGATTGTAATCTGGGAGGTGCTTCTTTTGCTGGTATCTTGGTCTTACTTGTTGATTAAGCTGGTGGATTCCGATTTCCTCCAGGTCCCCATGAACACACTGGATGGGCAACCAAGCACTGCAGTTGCTCAGGACATGGGGGATGGCAAAGAAGACGTGGTGCCGATTCGAGCAACCAATGTTGAGCTGACTGGCGGTGTCTCGGTGCTTCCATGTTATGCTGCCCTTGAAATATCGTCATTCGACCTCATGTTTGCCCATTTCAAAAGGTCTAGGTGCTTCATGTTGGTGATGTGTCATTTTTGTGGAGCCATATATCTCATACAATATATATATAATAATGTAGTTTAAATAATCTCATATAACATTATACAATATAATATAATATAAAATACCATATAGCATAATTTGATATAACATCATGTAAAATAACATAATAAAATATAATACAATATAACATCATATAATATAATGTAATGTGATTTATATAATTTGATTTAATATAACATAGTATAATTTAATATAGTATAATATAGCATAATATAATATATAAAAATATAATATAATTTAATGTATAAAAATTTAATTTAAATTAAAATATAATATAATATAATATTTAAAAAATAATATAATTTTTAAAAAATTATCATTTAATATTTAAAAATATTATAATATAATATAATATAATATATATATAATACAATACAATACAATACAATACAAATATAATATAATATAATATAATATAATAAAATATAATACAATATAATATAATATAATATAGTATAATAGAATACAATATAACTTAATGTAATATAGTGTAATATAATATAATATTATTTAATAAAATATTGTTATTATTGTATTTATATATATACACAGTATTTTTTAATTATATATATATATATGTACCTTTAGGTGGTCAGATCCATGTCCTGGATGTACCTCCGTTTGGGTGAGATCATCTTTGATTGGATCCGAAAACATCACCATCTTTGGTTCCTGAATCACCATTTTCAGTTCAATTCTGTCTGCAGGTCCTGGTAAGAACGAAACCTCCAAATTGGTCTGTCTCCGAATAGGCTACTCACCAAACTTGCTGGTTTACCATCCGCCTATCTTTAAACAAGGATTTTGGGATATTTTCCATTTTCAGACACAGAAAATCCCAGCATTCTCCCTATGTTTCATGCTTATATCAGTTATATCCGCATCTGCTGGGGCACCTCCAAACCCTGCAGTTGTCGAGGAGCCGACTTCGAGGCGCCGCATCGGTCTCTGAGACCGGAAGCTTGGACCGGTGGTTTACCCCCGGTGACTTTTTGTGATGGGAACTCACGTGGATTTCACCCATAATTTATGAATGGGTTAAAACCCTAATGATGATGATAACATATGATAACAATGACTATTATGATTAATTATGATATATTATGTTTGTGATGATAATTGTGAAGATATATGAATGGATTAAAAGCAAATGATGAACATTTCCTATGAAATTATAATTCCCACGATTTATTCAAATAACATGAACAATATGTAAGGATCCAACATGATTTATCCATTGAAGAATGGTTTTGGGGTGTTTAAAATGTGTGTCTGACAATGGCATGCATCCCGAAGAATTGGACTTTGATAGGGATAATGATTATAAACCATGATAAACCATAGATTTTTTGGCACCTTATTTCCACAAAACCCACAAGATTTTTTCTCAAAATGGGGAATGGTGAGAACATGTGAGAACCAGGGGGTTCAAGACTAAAACCGTCAAATTTTGGATTGTTTGGTAGTCCCATTGGAATATGTGTTTTCCACGCCCATTGTGAACTCACCTGCAAGAACGAAGATTTAAGCAAGAGTAAAGTGGTATTTGAACAAACATCGGGACAGAAATTCAATAAGGTCTGTGTTTGAACCTTAAATTTCGGCAATGAATGTAAATTTGGTATAGCATGGAATCAACCATGGCATTTGGACATCCAGACTGACAGGAAAATTATTTGGATTGGAGGAGGTCAACCAGCGACAACATGGTTTTCGCTGAGTTTATCTGAGTTTTAACCAGCAATGACTTAAAATCGAAATCGACACAGCACACCATACAAACATATACAAACACGCATCAGACTTTGAACATGAAACAGCATGAAGCAGCCCAAGAACTCGGGGTTTAATCCTGACATATCCTGACTCATGACACTGATGGTGACCATGACGATGATGGCTACAATGATGGCAGTGAGGCTGAGTGGCGTAATCAAAATTAAAGCAATATTTAAACCATTTATATCCTTATATAAATGCACATTTTGTGTGTATGGATATATTATGATGTATTTAAAGAGAGAAGTAAAGCACATATGTATGTATATTGTATATATATATATATACATAAATGTTATTGTGTATATGTACATACATACATACGTACGTACGTACGTGCGTACATATATACAGACAGACAGACAGACAGACAGACAGCCAGACAGACAGACAGACATACATACAGAATTACATACATACAGACACACACACACATACACACATACACACATACACACATACACACACATGCATGTCAAAGAAGTTTGCCGAAGTGGAATTTGGCAGGGGACGGGATACAACAAAGAACAAATTTGACATGACTTCGGACATGACCATTTAATTTGGTGTACTTTGTTTCCAATCACACTGTTTTTTGTGGTTTTTCATGTTGTTTCTAGTTTTATTCGAACAAACTAGGTCAGTTAGTCTTCCCAACTGAAGGGCATACATGTATTTGGTCGAACAGGTTGACCTCACATACGGGAACATACATCCGTTTGGAACAAAAGCCATGATTCGTGTTGGTAATTTGATGTTCTCATTTTTTCTTCGCAACTGTATTCGGAGAAGAAATCACGTTTCATTTTAATATCCCCATTGTTTTGGTAAATTGCATTCTTTTGTTGCTTGAATTTCATAGGTTGGCAACTGGTAGTTTCTTGTTGGTGCCTAGGACGCGCATGCCTTGAAGAACAAACTCTGGGAGGAGCCGGGATAGCAAAAAATGCTATTTGGGCGTTACTTTTTGGGGGTTACTGTGCATATGTTTTTACCAAGATTGTGCTGTTGATTTTTTTTGGGATTGCTGTTGCAAGGGTGCCAACCTGGTCCGCAAGTTGTTATTTTTGAACATCAGTCGCCAAGCACAGGATTTGGGGGTCGCGTTCCTGAAACGCAATACTTTTATCCTTCATGCGCGAATATGTAAAGATCTACATATCAGCATACCTTCCATTTGTCTAAAATGCACTCTGCGCAAAATTATATGTTCTTACTGTTTTTAAATCCCTCTTTGACCTTTGATATACACATTCACAAACATACAATTTGACTAATTATTTAATCATGAGCCACCGACCTGAAACAGCGCAATCTTGAAGGTTTTCCATCCTAGCGGTCCTAGCCATCATTCACACCACTTGTTTGGTCGGTGTCTAGTTTGTTCAGATGTCCCGAGGAGACCTCCAACAGCCCAGTAGCAGTGCCCAGGTTCTTTGGTACCGCTGAAAGACCTTGAAGTAAACGATCCAAATGTTTGGCGCTAAGAATTTGTTTCCTTGGCACTGAAAATGGTACTATATATATATTTTATGTACATTGTTTGCAATACCATTTGCTATATACATTTACCAGTTTGTAGAATAGGTCATGATACCAATCCGTACAGTGCATATAGCACCAGTCCATTTTTTCGTGAGCCCGTCTCTCAAGAACTGCCCAGGAGTTGTTACTTAAAGATGATGGACTTGACATCGACTTGACAGAACGTTTGGATGAGTTTGATTGGATGCCTGACGAACATAGTGGGCTCGTCTCCTATATATTTGATGCATATATCTTGTAGATGTTTTCAGATTTGTATTTACCTAAATTCTCCAAGTCCCCGTAAAAACTGGCATTTGTTTTTTTTAGTATTTTTGCAAACTTTTACAGGTACTTGGACGGTCTGCATATACATGTGTATTTACATTCGTATTTGCGTTTTTATTCGCATTTATTTCGTGATTATATATATATATTACATATTGATATTATAGATCGATCGATAGAGAGCGAGAGAGAGAGAGAGAGAGAGAAGTCTTTACTAGACATGGGATTTTATCCTTTGATCCCTGATTGTTTTGAATGCTGCAATTTCAGGATTCAATTACATATGCGATCAATGAAATAATGTTGAGACTTGTTTTCTTGAAGCCACTGCCAAAATTCCAACATGGAAAGGGATGGTCACAAATCCATAGGTTGCAAGTGACTGGGAAGTAGTGAGGAAGACGATGGATGCAATATGTTTTTTGATCAAGCATTTGAAAGGGCAACTCCAAGCACAAACATAATTCAGTAGTATTGAAAACCCTGTTTGTTGCTGACTTTAAGGTGAAACTTTTGAACCAACCAATATAAGGGATCACAGATGATCACAGAGGGTTTCTGTTGCTGAACTTGCCAATCCCAGGCGGGAATATCTCAGAGGGATTCCAAAGCTATCGAAGGCGTGAACGGGGACCCCGGGGAATGGGGAACCCATGCCCGTTATCCATTGAAAGGAGACAAGGGGGATGTTGGGGGTATCAAAAGGGGGCCCTTCTTGCGATACGTGGACATGTGTATAGTACCACCCCAAAAGGTAGAAACGTTGTCTGCCATATTGCAGTAGGATGCTACTTATCTATCCTTTTTAGGGGCTGCTTCAACATCATAAGAGGAAGAACAAATCCGGTCCTCATCACAATGGTGAAGGAAACGCACAGATAAGATCAGACAGAGAAGACTTGATTGATGGTTTCCATCCCCCAGTGAGGGCGGGTGAGTTTGTTTTTGTACTTGTGTTGAAGGATAATTCAATCAATCAGCTAATCATTGATCGTTTCTTTAGGTGCTTTGAAATCCTGAGAACACCCTGGCTATCCTGGGATGAAGATCCGATGCTGGTTTCCAAACGACCCAGGCAAAACAACATTAGCGATTGATTCATATTCCCTCTGGTAATTCAACAGTTCCCTATGAAAAGTCACCATGGAACATCGAAGTAGAAGGACCATCTAAACTATAGCTATGTAAAATGATCGAAGGGTTTCTGCAGTTTCCCGACAAATAATCAGAATCAGAGTCACTAGGTTTCAACATCCCGGAGATGGTTTCCCAACCCCAAGCCCAACGGCGAATCTTCTGGAGGCGTTGCTGGATGAAGTCACCAAGTTCACTGGCGAACTGCACAGGACGGGGCAGAGATGGGCCAATTTGGCCCCTGGGGAACCCGAGTGAATGAGTACTTTGATGTAGCTTGGTCGTTTGCTGCAAATATGTGCACATACATACATACGTAACACAACATAACATTACTTTACATTACATTACATTACATACATATATACAGACACACATACATACACACATGCATGCATGCATGCATGCATGCATACATACATATATATATATACATACATGTTTTTTACATATACAAACACAAACACTTATATGATATTCACTTTTGCTTTAACCAGATTTTGAAGTATGTAGTAGTGTTTCTAAGATTGACAATATTTCGGGAAGGGTCAAGGCAGGACGTGATCCAATCTGGTAATAAAGAACTCCTAACGGACCACCTGGTTCGGAGTGGGGCTTGACTTTGCCAAGGTTGGAGGGGGGTAAAGTTGGCCCAATGAATCCGACACAGATTTGAACCTGCATGGTGCCAGGTTGGGGCTGGGATGGTATGGGGATCTCCAATTTTGTGATGTAAATCTCTATACTTTTGCCGGGTATACCTACCTGAAGTCTGTGTTGCATTCGGAATTTCATTGAGCTTTCCGCGAATGATTGCTGACCGCATGTGGTGGGTATGGGTGGTGTGTCATTGGGTGTTTTTTTGTGCGGTGTTTTGCTTCTAATGCAGATGTCGTGCAGGCTGATGATGTTTACAAATTACAATCCTCCCTGATGTTGATGTATGATTAGAAAAATACCCTGAAATAAAGCCAACAGTTTGCTCAAATGATCTCAAACTCAACAATAAACTACACCGATTCTGGAATTTCTTTCATCAATCTGTCATGAAAAGAACCCTTCTCATCAAGTATTGAAGGACAACCGGGGGGCCTGCGTCTTTTCACATGGCATGGGGATTCAACCCACCCATTTCGGGGACCCAATAGATGGTTTGGCCCTTAGAATGAGAGTGGTTGAGTCACCAGTCACCATTGCTAGCCATGTATAGACTGGGCTGATTCAACTGTAGATTGATCTCCACCCTCAATCCAATCATTATTGTGAATAATCCAATATCAATTCTCATTTTTGTTTGTTAAAATCCAAAAGTTTAGGTGGTTAAACCTCCATTTACAACCATAAATCCACGACATATATCCACATTATGGTTGATATTTATGGTTGTGTTACATTATGGTTCCATTTACATCCACATTCTCTCCTTTTCCCTGTTGGTGATCTGTTAACTTCCACATCGCTTGGTTTCCCCTCAGGACCGCGAGATGCACCTGGACCAACAGTCCAAGGTTTCATTTCGTGGCCACCACGGCGCGTTGCTCCGGCGAAGAACGCAGAACTTTGGGATCGAATTTTGACCAATTGAAGTAGGGAAAAGAGGAGAAAAATGAAAATTTTGGTGATAAACCATTGGTAGCCATTGGATTCGAGGGAAAACAGATTCATCCCAGTTTATAAGGTCATGATTCCAGCTAGAAACTGGGCCAAACCTATTGATCCTGGGAATGGGGTTATAAGCCACTTACTAAATATTTAACTGGGGCGAGCCACCAAGTATGACAAACACCACAAACCCATGTTGTTGCAATCGGGGAAGTCGGGGAAGGTCCTTCTTTTTTGGGTGTCAAAAAGGGATTGGGATGGAAACTAAGCAAATGAATAGATAGTAGCACAAACATGATCATTAGGTTGACAGGTTCAAGCAATCTAATGCTATTTCTTAGTGTTTTTTTTGGATGGTTTTCTGTGTTCAATGTCCATCCTGTGTGGGAAGATGGTCCTTGACTTGTACGTTTTCATGTATCGTGAAACAACGTGTCACCTTGAAAATGTCACTGTTGGTGGAAGCTAGCATCACATGTCAAATGTGCCAGGTGTTGTTGGGACAGGGTTGAGATATCATCAGGCAGAAGCACAGCATGTTGATATTATCCTCCGTTTTTTTCTATCCTGAGGTTTCCGCATCTTGCTATCGCAGCATTCAAGCAGGCCTACTGAGACTGGCAGCGGGATTGGATCAAGCGTAACGCCCCTGGAAACCGTTTGTTTCAGACTCGATACAATTCAGGAGTTTGTCACTTGGGATTTGGCTGGCGAATTAGATTGCCTACCAACGTAGCGCGGAAACCGCAGTATGGTTGTCCTTCATGAGTGTTGGATATCTTTATCATGGTCAGAACATCTCAGAACTAGAGTTCATATGTTAGAGGTTCTGACCATGAATAATAGCTTTATCACATATGAAGTCATGTGGATAAGATGTTATCACCACATATGAGTGAAGCAGAAAATCGTTGGATATCTTTGTCATGGTTAATAAGTCATAGCTTCGCTCAACGTTTTTTCGTAGGCGAATCCAAGGTATGAAGATCCCGCAATCAGTTCCAATGGGCCAAAAATACCATGCTCTTCCCCTAGGAAGTGCGTCCTGATCTACGAAGACCTGGAGAGGAATTTCCTGTCCATTGATGTGGCCGGGCGAGACAGAGGATAACCAAAATTAAACAAACACGTGGGGGTTTCCGAAAATGGGGATACTGCAGCGGGCACACAGTGGCAAAGTGATCGTGCACCGGACTCAAATGAAACGCAACGCAAAGAGCGCACAGGCGCACAGCTCTGTTTTCCACCAAATGGACATAGCCCCCAGGTCAGCAGCCCATGAGTCAAGGCCAGGCATATCTATTAAAGAAAGGGGCCCCTCCTGAGCCATACAATGCAGGCAAGTGCCATGAATCGTGCATCATGTCGTCGAGGCAAACCTGACAGGAATGTGGATCTGTTGCACCAGCATAAGAAAGATCAGGTTTGCCGCCCTTGAGGTAATCATCGATCTGGTTCACGGCGGTTTTGCCTTCTCTCTTGTTCTTGTTGGATCATACCTGACAGCCCACAGCCAGGCTTTGAGGAACTTTTGGAGGCCAACTCGACAGTCAGCACGCTTCTTCGTCAGACTATCACCTAAGTCATAGTCACTGGCTACCCAGGGAAGCTTGGAACCAGCACGCTGGAGGTATTCTCGAAGTTGTAGGGCTTGGAGTGCAGAGCGACTGTTGCTCAAACCCAAGAGAGGACTCTCGTTGTAGAGCACATTATCGAAACCACCTTTGCTGTCGGTGCAAAGGATTCCTTCAACTAGTTTCGCCATTTCCTCTGCAAATTCCACTTTGTTGGCATCGCGAGGACGAGCAAGTCCAGCACCATTGATTTCACACCAAGGAGGTGTGTGTGCAAAAAATCCAATCTTCACGTCAAGAACTGCTTGAACTTCCGGATCATTGGATCCAAGAGCTTTGCGACGGAGCTTCCAGGTTCGCCAAGGCAAAAGAGACAGAGGATAAACTTCACCTTTCAGAGCTTTAGGGCCGCTCAGCAAAGTGATGATCCCACACTTGATCTTGATCTTCTGGTCTGCAACATGCCATTCGCTGGAGTCAGCTCCAACGATTTCCCATGCCTTGCACAAGGGGTGAGTGGTTGCCCTTGGCACTTCACCTGAACTTTTGCTGCCTTGTAGAAGATGATCACAAGCATCGCATTGAAGATCTCGATCCATTTCGATCTTCCACTTGGGGAGTCCAGCATCACGAAACAGGTGAATCAGGCTCTTGTTCGTGGGATGTCCCGCTGCACGGTGGTAGTGCTGCAGTTTGGCATGCCAGGCTTGTCGATCTTTTTCAGAAACATTATGTTTAGGAGCTTCAAGTATGGAAGGCTCGTAGCCGTCAGACAAATCACCATCATCAGGTGCAGGAGGAAGAACTTCTTCAGCAGGAAGAGCTTGAAGACGTTGCGTCCATTTCACATCGTGCTCTGCATGTTGGGAGTGCGCCACAACATCAGGAGAAGTCAAAGCTTGTACATGACGTTGAGGAGCAAGTTGATTCTTCCAGTGTCGTACAATAGATTCCACCATCCGAACAGGATAGTATGCAGAGCGAGCTGTTTCAATTCCCTGTATGAGGGCATGTTGGTGCTGCGAGGGCAAACCTTGCACTTGAAGCTGCGATGAAAGAGCTCATTATTGGCGCGAATCTCCCAGCGCTTGTAGATAAACGCTGAGTCATCGGAGTTTCGCATCCCATAGTTACATCCATCAATTCTGCAGCGCTCTCATGATTGGCCACGTTGCAAAAGTCCATGTTGCAGCGAGACCATACGAGGCTGTGACCAACCAGAACATGGAAAAGTCCACTCCCAGTACACATCAATGTCTGGGTCGTCATCCACAGCACTGAGGATGAAGTCCTTGGCATAGTGCATCATTCGACGTTCTCGTCGACGTAGATCTTCGAGGACCGCCTTGCGCTCTTCAGTGTTGTAGTTGACGTTGGTCCATTGGGACCAGTGAGTGCATGGAAGTGAGAGCCAAAGTTTCTTGGGACGCTTGATTTTCCGCAGGCGTTCCATTTCCACCCATGCCGACTTCTTGGTCAAGTCAAACCCTTGCTTATAGTTGATCCTTCGAGCTGCTTGAGTCAGCCAACTGTTGTCGGCGCATGCAATCTCCCAAAGACACTCCTGTCCACCCATGGCAATCTGCAGGGCGAGATGACTTATAGTTGCCGTTGCCGTCATCATTGTCACCATCTTCATGACCTTGGAGCCCATCGTTGTGGTCAGGGGTTGGCTTGCAGAAGTCACTGACTGAGAGCACCAGATTGCGCAGATCGTTCCTTTCCTGCTCGGTCAGGAAGTCCTTCAACTGGCGGCGATCTGGAAAATCCAAAATCGGATCCCAGCTGCTGTCGGAAGGACTGGTCGCCGGAGAGCCCTGGTTCATCATGTAGCCCTTGGTGACAACCAACTTCTTCTCCGCATTCTTGGAGGCTGCCTTGGACTTTGGAACCTTCTTGGAGCTCTCGACATTGGGCTACTCCAGCAGGTGCTGCACCTTGATGTTCAACTTCTCCTCGGCCGTGATCTTGTCAAACATGGCTTTCACAATCTCTTCCGTTGGAAGTGCACCATGAAGCATCGGCTGGAGCTGCGTCAAGGCCCTTTGCACCATCACTGCATTGTCGACCGCAGTGTGGCTGGAAGGAGATCCCTTCCGTGTTTGGTACCACAGACGGAGGGCACAAATCTCGCAGCAGGCCGTGTGGATTGCCCTGAGGGTTTCCCTCCAAATGCTTGCTGTGGCATGGCCATGTCGTTTGAGAAGCACGTGGATCTCGAGGGTCGTAGGTCATCATGCGGTCTGGGTCCAGGGGTTGAGCATTTGTCTTGCCCTTCGCGTTGGACTTGATGCTGCTCAGCACCGCCCCTTCTTCCGCTGGAGCCAGGCTTTGAGACGAAGTCGCCATTGCCAATCACAGAGGTCGACGCGGGGGCTTCTACAACTTGTTTGTTGGCAGAGTTGCCCATCTGAGCCATGTTGTGGCCACATCGAAAAAGTTTTCGCAACAGCTCTTCACGATCATGCTTCAGAGAAGAAGATGTAAAAGAGGAAGGACATGATTGCTGAGTGGTGTAGAAATCAAGAGGACGAAACTGCAGGACTGGTTGCACTAAAAGAGGATCAGCTTCAGCAACAACATTCACTTGTGCATGCCCTTCTGCTCTAGTTTGGCCACATATAGTGTTTCTTCGGATTGACTGGTAGTTGATATACTTCAGGATTATCATCAACGCCATCCATTGCTAAACCAGATCCAAAACCAACCAACATTTGACAACCATGTGCACCAAGATGATCCATGCCAATCAAGATGGGAACAAGCTGTGATTTGTCAAAGTTAGGCTGGTAAAACTCAATTGGATTTGGAAGCGCGTACAATGAAAACGTTTTCTTTTGACCAGAAACATCCGAACAAATATCCAACTTGTACCTAGCTCTGCCCCACTTCCCATTGCCAAAGCGAAAGTTTGGCCGCTGCGCTGAGAGAATGTTCACGGTGGCTTGTCGATCGTGAGACAAAACAGTTTTCACCAGCTCCTGGGCAGAAACTTCTGGTGCTGCAGAGGCAGTTGCTCCGCAGTCTAGCATCCCATAAGCTTGTGAAGCCAAAGAACTAGAGCTAGCACCAGTTGATGCCTTTGTTGTAGAGGCCAGTTCCATGCCATACAGAGCATAGGCGTTCACAGGGTTCTTGCCAAAGCCCTTGCCATCCTTGGAGTGGTACGGACTTTTGCCCTTGAAATTCCAAAATATCTCTTGTTCAGACATGTGGGAAAACTTGGACTTACCTTTATTGCCCTTGCCTTTGTTCTGGAAGAACGCATCAATGGGGTCAATCATGTAGTGCATGCCCTTGCCCTTCCCAGAAAACTAGCCCTTGGGGTAGTTCCCATAACGTCTGTCAGGACAATCCCTAACCAAATTGTTACCGACACAGTTGAAACAACGACCATTTGTGACAGTGTTGACATGACCAAAACCTCTATCGCGTTTCAACTGCTGGGTGGTTTTTCTAGGCTTCCTGCCAGGTGCGCTTGGCCTCAGCTGCAAGTTGCTCAGCGACTTGTTCAGCTTGAAGAGCTTCTTGAAGGCGCTCTTCTTCCTCAAGAGACAAAGCAGCTTGCGCATCCTTAGCAGGTGCGGTTTCATCGGGCCATTCATGTTCATGCCACTCATCATGCCATTGACCATCGTTCCACCAACCATCATCATGTCCCCGGTTCCACATCTCATCATAGTTCATCTCATAGCCATCATCCCAAACATCATCATGCCATTCATGCCATAGAGCATTGCTAGTGACGTCCGGCATGTTGTGAATAACGGTGACCAAGCAACTGTTCATCCCAAAGTGCAGACAAAGCTTGGCTGATGGCTTCGAAATCTAATTTGGTTTGAGTAGTGGACAAAATGTCTCTAGTTTCTTCTGGGGTGAGGCTTGCGGCCTTCAACAAACGCTCATGATGAATGAGTCTGCCAAAGAAACTTCCGAAACATCTTGGGGTGTTTTGGGCTTTCCCGATTCAGATTCAGGTCCTGGAGCCGAATGCTCAGAGGCCGCAGGAGCTCGATGGCTAGGTGAGGAGCCAGGAGCCGCACTAGCAGGAGCATCAGCACCTTGCTCAGGAGAGGCTGCAGCTGCCGTCGTTGCTGCAGGGTCTTGTTGACGTTCTGAATCACCAGAAGCAGGTTCCATGCCCCCCATATAGCCATACCCATAGTCATCATCCCACCAATCCCATTCTGAAATAGGTGGCGAACCAAAATTTCTTTCAGCAGGGTCAACACCGGTCTGTTCCTCCCATAAACGTATGAGGGCTTCAGAGAACTCTTCATAACCCAACGTTTCACGGACCAGGAAATTTGCCATTGATTCACCAGTTCGTCTCTTAAATCCCAAATATTGTTGAGGAATTGCAGCTGTATTCGGAAGGGTCTTGCGAACCAGAGGAGAGCCAGCTAGCTTCTTCAACAGGTTCAAGGTTCCATCAGGTGAATCAAATTCAGTTCTGGACCATGAAATAGCTAGAAGATGCGCTGGACCAGATAGTCGTGAAATCAGTTTGGAGGCCACATATCTACGTTTCTTGGTGGGGGTCGATGCAACAAACCATGCAACCTCTTTGGTATACCTACGCCAGTTTTTTGCCTGTCCATCCCATGAAGGCACCGTCGAATCATCATTCCGTGTTGCCATTGCTGCAAAATGCAGGCTTCAAAGAGAAGGAGTGATCGCCAAGATCAGGTCAGTCTCCACTTCGCCTTCACGAAGTCAAACACAAGGAAAAAGAGAATGAAAAGGTTCGGATGCAAAAAGGAGGCCAAAGGATGTCGTTCGGCAAGTGCACCGCTGCTTGAAGACACCGTAGAGGATTTCAAAAGCGATGTCAATCAGCAGCAAGTAGCAAGGCCCCCGAGCGTGTATGCTAAGCTGCCAATGCAGCGGGCACACAGTGGCAACGTGATTGGGCACCGGACTCAAAATGAAACGCAACGCAAAGAGCGCACAGCTCTGTTTTCCACCGAATGGGCACAGCGCCCAAGTCAGCAGACCATGAGTCAAGGCCAGTCGTATCTATTAAAGAAAGGGGCCCCTCCTGAGCCATACAATGCAGGCAAGTGCCATGAATCGTGCATCATGTCGTTGAGGCAAACCTGACAGGAATGTGGATCTGTTGCAGATACCTCAATAGCTGGATGGTTTATAATGGAAAATCCCACTATAATGGATGATTTGGGGATATTGTTTGGATATTTTAGGAAACCTCCACATTATGTTCTTTTGGGAAATGCATTGTTTGGTTGGCTCAATCCGTGTTTGTGCTGACTGGACCTTATCTTTGTTGGCTGCTATCCCTTCTTATTGTTTATCTTAAGGGTTTAATCGTGAATTCCCAATTTGTCATTACTCAATTTCCGAGCTGTTTATTGGTGTGATATCACGTATGTAATTTCATGGTTTTTACCTGGTTAAATACCTCTTGTGTGCTGCTTGTAAGTTGCCATCCCTTTCTGATGCGTGTTTCGCGACCTAATTTGGCGATGTTTCTACTTGTCATAATATACGGTTTCCCACAGTTACTGCTAGTTGGGCCAACATTTGGGTACCAATGCATCATCCATTTTGGTCCATACCCAGCAATTCTCCCGGTGGCATAGCCATTATCCCAGCGTGTACTGAGAAAATGATTGACCATCCCTTTTTCCTATCCGGTGCAGAAAATCATTGTACCCCGGAATCAAAGATGGTTCGTTGGAAAATGCTCCAACTAAAGTTTCAATAGTTGTCCCATCTATAGATCCCGGATCCCCATTTAGTTCACAAGTCCCAACCAGCTGTGTTTGATTACCATCCAGGCATAGGTGATGTATAAATATGTATCTGTATAATATTATAGTATGTAATTATATATATATGTATGTATACATATATTTATATATACACATACAATATATACGTGTATATATATACTGTATATATTTATATTTTCCCATTTACCTCTTATATCACCACTTTTGTTGGTTAAGTCACCGTTCTTCTTGGTTCAGTCACCATAGAGATGTTAATTCTAGAACCGAGCGAATCTCTCTTTCCAGCAATGTTTTCCCAAGGACTTGCCACGTGACGATGGTCAGCCCAGCTATCCAGCGCCACGAGAACAAGACGTGGTGGCCGCCTTTGGGGGACTCTTGGACGCAGTGGAGAGCCTTTTCGAATAGGGAAGGTCACCAAGACTTAGGAAGAGAGAGAGAGAGAGAGAGTGAACACATATACACACATTGTATAAAGTGTGTATATATACATATATGTTTTTTCATATGCATATATATTTAATTATATATATATACATTTATACACACTCAATATACTGTATAAAGTATGATAACTATATTCATTATATATATATATATCAAATTAATTATACGGGACTATTGTCAGATCCACCATTTTTGGCGACCTTTACGGTGCTGACCCAGAGACGTCATTGATGACCCTTTGCGGTGAAAATGCAGTGCTCCAAAACCGTTTTTCGTCACTTCGTACATAAACCCTGAATAGTCCCTCCATGAACGCTAAAGCACTAGAAAAACCTTCGATTGAAGCTAGAGAACCCCTAGATAACCCTGAAGAAACCCTAAATGAACTCTACTGTGATAACCCTCAAGAAAAACAGAAAGTGAATATAGTGGAGCGCCTGTGGGGCGGAGCGCTTTTGTGCCGCGGGTAATTATATATTAATTGCAGACGATTAACTATATGAACTATTAAAACATATTTAAAGTGTGCAACATATAGTCTTGTTCAACATTTCATCCCCATGCAGTGCCAAGCATGTGCAGTAGGACCATGTTGCAGAAAGCCGTGCAGCAAGGATGACACGCACAAACTGAAGGCGTTTGCAAGTCAAGGTGCCGAAAACCCGCTCCAGCGTTACATGGTAGCGGAGCCACCCAAGGATCCGACAGGTTAAGGTGAGGGTGGCTCCTGCTTCGGTGCTGAGGCGCTGGCTGAGCAATCGCTGTGGAGCCCTTTGTCACTTGCTCTATCTGCTGGAGGCGCCCAAGGTCCTAGAAGAGCCCTACGGCAAGACAAGGGAAAGAAGGAGGCTGGAAAGAGAAAAGAGGAGTGAGGCTGTTGTGGAGTGCCAGGACTGTTCCCGCACTTGCCAGTTTCTTGTGATTGGAGTCAGGGAAACCCACTCTAGTCAGGGAAGATGGCTAACAGCATGGAAGCCTTTCTGGCTGAGATGCGTGGGTTCACATCCACGACTACGCAGGCAGTGAACCCCGTAGCTGAGTTGAGAAGAAAGGACGGGAATCAGGAGTCAATAGATTCCCGGACACTGCAGAAGCCTGAGGTATGGCGTCCAAAGGACAATGAAGAGGAGATGACAGGATGGCCTGAGTGGGCTTTTCTGTTCAAGGCGTTCATGGTCGTTTTAGATAGTGACTATGAGAATGATTTGGAGACGGTGGAGCGCCAGTTGGACAGCAATGGGGCTTTTGAGGATTACTTGCAAGAGGAGAAGACGAGGGCGAGAAGGTTGTACTCATACTTGGTGTCGTACCTGAAGAATCGACCCCTGAGGATAGTGAGAGCTGTCCCCAACAATGATGGGCTGGCAGCGGGGCAGAGTTTGTGCCGTGAGTTTCAACCTAGGAGCAGACAACGCACTTTGTGTTTGCTGCAGGCAGTGACTCAGTACCCTGCCTTCGAGAAGGGCAAGACTTTGGAGGGTTTGCTTGCGTTGGAGAAGTTGATGGAGGACTATGAAAGCTTAGCAACGAGAAGCTGAACAATGACTTGAAGGTGGCTACCTTGCTTAGGTGTTGCCCTTCCACTCTCAGGCAACATCTTGAGCTGACGATGGGCAAGGAGACCACCTACAGGGATATTCGTGAGGCACTTACGTCTTACGAGCAGACAACGACGAGCTGGACACCGACCAAAGTCTTGAAGCAGGTGCAGACCTTCAACAACCGAGATGATCCTATGGAAGTAGACAGGCTGGAGAAGGGTAGCAAAGGCACGAAAGGGAAAGGTGGCAAGTCAAAAGGTAAGAGCAAAGACAGTAAAGAAGGAAAGAAAGGCAAAGGAAAGCCCAAGTCGAGCTCTACGTCCTGGTCGAGCTCTACGTCCTGGTCGCAAAGCAAAGGTGATCAACGTGGTGGAAAAGGAGGACAGAAGGCAGAAGGCAAGGGCAAAGGAAGCAAAGGAGGAAAAGAGTGCTTTGTTTGTGGCAAGCTAGGTCACATGGCGCGAGATTGTTGGAATGTAGATAAGAAGGTGAGGCAAGCTGAGGAGACGCGCGAGGAGCAACCTATGACCTTGTCGAGAACTACACAGTCTTCTTCGGGTTCTACTTCGTCTACATCGACTTCGACCACGCCGGGCACTACGTACAGAATTCCTGGGCTGGTGAGAAGACTCACATGCTGTGTGAAGAAGCTTGTGACCCCACCTGAGATGAGGCCCTGTGAAATCTTTGACATGGCAGAGGGCCCTGGGGATGAGGAGGATGAGATAGAAGGCGAGCACAAGTTCCACGACATTGCGGTGGTGATCGAGGACGTCAACTATGGCGAGGAGGCTGTTGCAGAGAGGTTCATGGCCATCATGGATCTTGGAGCCAATGTGTCAGTTCTTCCTATGGAATTTAAGAAATATGGAGAGATGGTGGATGAGAAGTACCAGGCCGTCTTGCGGGATTGCCAAGGGAATGCTATCCGCAACTATGGGAGGATGAAGCTGACTATGTTGGTTCAGACACAAGATGATGAGATCTTGTGTTTGACTGAGATCTTTGTGTTGGCCAACGTGACGCAACCTTTGGTGGCTGTGGGCAAGTGGCTCAAGCGAGGCTGGAGGTTGGAGCAGTCGAACTACAACCGCGAGTATGTCTTGGCGAACAGGCTGAGGAAAGTTCCATTGGTGTGGAAAGGAAATTCACTTGCTTTTACATTCAACACCAAAGTCTTGGAGGTCAACTACCTGTTGAAGCTCACAACTGAGCTGGAGGAGATTGCAAAGGAGAGAGGCGATTGGATTTTAGAGGATGGCACGCCCGTCACGATCACAAGAGATGCGTCGGGCTTCCAGCAGTCAACTGTGAGCTTTGTGCAGGAGAATTACCCATACAGAACAAGGTTGGTAAAGAGGGAGGATGGCTCGTGGTGTTGTGTGGAATATGCAGCTGCAAGAGAAGAATGGAGACAAGGAAGTCTTGGAGAAGACATCACTACTCCCACCACGGTCATCTCTATCTTTCACCAACATGCTGTCCGTGCTCAAGGTGCAGCTGATGATCTACCACCGCTGGAGGAGGTAGATCCACCACAAGCTGGGCAAGGATTTGAGGAAGTAGCAGGAAAAGGAGCTGGAGGAGTCCGGGGCGATGCAAGTTCTGCATCACCGGAAGGGATCAGGGGCGATGCAAAATTTGCATCACCTGATCAAGGAGAAGGACTGCTGCTTGAGGAGACAGAAGAGGTTGAGGAAGTTGGCCCCAAGGCCCCAGTAGGAGCTTTGGCTGATGAAATTGGCCCTGGGTATGTCATCGTCAACGGCAAGAGGATTGAGGAGAGCAGCTCGTTGGCGCAGATGAGGGAAGCATGCCAGTTCCTGAACATTGGACAGAGCGGTGGAAAGGAGACCTTGTTTGAAAGGTTGAGGAACTACGCTATCAAGGGCTATGCTAGGATGACCTCTGACGTGGTCCACCAAGAGCAGATTGCAGAGAAAAGGGAGCCAGTTCAAGGACCTCTTTTACCAGTAGCACCTAGTGACGAAGAGCAACAACGACACCGGCTGACGCACATACCTTTTGAAGATTAGTGTGAGCTGTGTGTTGCAACAAGGAGCAGAGACAGCGAGCGCCATGAGAAGCGAGAGGCTCCAGTGGCAACACAGGCGTTTGATTACATGTACACAAGTACCTCCACGGGACATCAAGCAGAGGCCGACATGCTCAAGCATCTGGTAGGAGTGGACTCTTGGACCAAGGCTCTTCTTTGTGTCCCTATTCCAGGGAAGGGCGGACTGAGTTTAAAGAGGTGTGTCTCTGCAGTTGCTGCTTTTGCCCGGGATCACGCAGACGTTGTCCTCAAAGCAGATTGTGAGCCTGCCATGAAGCAGCTGATCGGGGCAGTAGAAGCGGCGAGAACAAGCTTGCGGCTGCGAACAACGGTGGAGTTTACTCCCAGCTCAACACCAGGCCAATCCTGCTGAAAGGGCGGTGCAGACTGTAAGGCGCTTCGGGAACACTTTGCTGGAAGGAGTCAACAGAGGACTTGGGAAGAGTCTAGCTGGAGGCCATGCGTTGAGGAGTTGGGCGTATGGCCATGCAGCTTGGCTTTACAACAGATTTCATGTTCTCCCTGGTGCCAAGCAAACACCTTTTGAAGTGGCCACGGACAGGCCATATCGAGGACGCTTGACAGAGTTTGGGTCTGCTGTGTATGGACAACCGCTTCCCCACAAGCCGCAGCAGAGGAAAGGCTTACCCGGATGGGTTGTGGGCAAGCTGGCAGACTGCGACCTTTCAATACTTTCTGGTGCCTATGGACTATTTTTGAGCCGAGGAGTTCGAAGATGTGCGCAACAATGGCAGCCAGAGCTTGTGGAGGCCGCGAAGGCTTGGCCATGGGAAGATCGCGAAACTCTTGGCCCTAAGCCAGGGAAGAAGAAGCAGGAGAGAACGAGGGCAGCAATGCTTGAGGAAGTGATGAAGGAGTATCATGGTGATGCGGAGGCCCAGGCCATTGCTTTGTTTGCACGACAACGTGCTGCTGATGCGATCAATTCCAGCCAAGGCCAGGCGACAGATGGAGTGGATGACAAGTCGAGTGTGGCATCAGAACACCCTTCTGGGCTTCCTGGCCCTAAAGGAGAAGATGAGCAGCCAGTCCCTACAACCGAGGCGGGGACTGTTGAAGAGAAGTACGCAGCCATGGACGTGGAACTTCAACAAGGAGGAGGAGCAGCTATGTCTAGCAACAAAAGAAGTGAGGATGCGCGAGAGGAAGCTGAGGAAGAGGTGCCACACAAGGCTCAGAAGCTGGTAGAGGTTGAGGAGCCCCCAGAGAAGGTTCATAGGAGACATACAGCAGTCCTTCCCGTAGGAGCTACGTCGTCTTCATCATCAACTTTGTCTACATCGAGGACATTGTCATCTTCACCAACGTTTGCAGGTAACTTGAACAAGGTCACCAAGGTCATCCTGGGAGAGAATGACGAGGTGGAGGTTGATGAGGAGATGCTTGAGGAGCCAGGTCGATGTGGAGAAGTTGAGGAGATCGACCTTACAGAATGGGATAAGCATGAGGACGATGGGCCGCCTACATTAAGCGCAGAAGAGTTGGAGAAGGTCGATGCGGAGGCAGAAGAGAGAGAAGAGAGGAGGCTGATTGAGATGCACGTGTTGATCAAAGAGGATGAGGAGCACCGCATTGATGAGAGCTTTAGGAGGCTTACAACGAGGCAAGTGAAGGATGGGCGCTTTCGCGAGAACAAGTGGCAGAGGAGAAGCAGATTGGTAGCTCGCGACTACAAGCTCTTGACCCCGGAGCTTGAAGGGCTGTTCAGCCCAGCCTCAAATGGGCTGAGCACAAAGCTGTGGGCAGCTGTTGTCCAGAGCTCAAAGGGACAACTATGTCTGTTCTCAGCTGATGTCAAAGATGCTTATTTGATGGTGGAGCAAGAGGAGAAGGTCTACGTGGTCACCAGAACAGGCGAGCGGTACATCTTGGGTCGCAACTTACCAGGCCAACGAACTGGCAGCAAGAATTGGTATGATTTGCTGTCTGAGGTTTTACAAAAGAAGGGTTTGAAGCCATACAGTGCGAACCCATCGGTGTTCTTCAAGGCAAAGGAGGACGAGAGCAGTTTGCCCTTGGTTGTTTCAACGCATGTGGACGACCTGCAGATCATGGGGAGCGAGAAGAAGGTTGAGGAGCTTCTTCAACACCTACGTGATCAAGGATGGCAATTGCAGGTAGAAGGACCTTGTGGACCTCACCTCGCTGGCCAATGTTCCTTTCTCAAAAGGAAGTTCGTGTCTGATGGACAAGGAAACTTGTGGGTGAAGCTCAGCGACAAGTACATAACCAAGATGGTGGAGGAGCTGAACTTAGAGCAGAACAAAGGCAAGGCAGTGCCTACAACTGGGCAGTTCCAGAAGGGGCTGCAGTACAAGCCGATGCCAGTAGACAAAGCCCGAGTGTTCAGAACTTGCGTGGGCATCCTGCTCTACATGGCAGGAGAGCGCGCGGACATTCAGTGCGCAACACGAGCCCTGGCATCCAAAGTGACGTGTCCTGACGAAGGAGACTGGAAGGAGCTGAAGCAAGTGGTGCTCTACCTCAAGAACACCACGGAGTATGCCCAGAAGATGACTGCTACAGGTTCAATGAGTTCTGCAGTGTACAACATGATGTACCCCAACAAGCCAGAGGAGGAAGAAGCTAGCGCATGTTCTGGTCCTTCCCTACTGCAAGTTTTTAGCGATGCAGACTGGGCTGGTGATCGCCAGACACGAAAGTCCGTATCATGTGCGATGTACTATATCTCAATGGGGTAACTCGGTCCCAAAGATCGACAGCTTTGAGCTCAGGAGAGTCGGAGTTTGTGGCAGGAGTTTCTGCCCTGGCAGCTGGTATCTATCTCAAGCGGCTCTTGGAGGCGGTCCTCATGAACAAGGTCTATTTTGAGTTGAGGATGGACAGTTCGGCAGCAAGGTCCATACTACAGAGGCAAGGAGTTCAGAGGACGAGACACATAGCAACTGGACTACTTTGGGTTCAAGAACGCATGGCGCAGAAAGAGGCTACAGTCAAACCAGTGCCAGGCCAGCAGAACCCTGCTGATATTGGGACGAAAGGTCACTCGCAGAAGAGGCTTCAACTACTACTTGGACTTCTTGGATTTCAAGATCGCGTTGGAGGAGAAGAGATTGGACATCAAGCTGGAAGAGTTCAACGACTTCAGAGACAGCTACTTCCATTCGTTTTAGCTGGTTTCAGGTCTGCAGGAGGCTTCGACACTGAGGAGCTCTACGTGAGGAGTCTTACAACACAGGAGGCTGAGGATGAGATGCGAGAGGAGACGGGTGGAGATACAATTCGAGGAGATGGTCCTGAAGTTCAACAAGGAGATCTACGTCATGGCGTTCTTCCTGCAGAAGCTGAAGGCGAACCAGAGCCAGAAGGAGGTAGCAACGAGAGTGAAAGAGAACCAGAATCAGGAATTCGCCATATGGACTCACCGCCAGTGAGGCCGTGCAAAGGAACTTTCGCGACACCCAGCGATTGGAAGTGATGAGAGGCCTATGGCATGAATGGCAAGGTGGACAGGCCACAGATGAGGCGGTGCAGAACTTCTTCCACGCCACGAGATCGACGATTTGAGCTCGGAGGGAGAGGCTGAGTTTAGGATCCACGAGGTAACCAATGAGGAGGCAGAAGAGGAGTTGAATCACCTTGGAATATGGGGTGACATGGAACAAGGTGATGACGAAGTCATGGTGGTGCATGGAGACGTTCCTGAAGAGCGGTTGCGAGCTTTTGCAAATGCAGTGGCAGCAGCTCATGGAGCGACAGTGGAAGACAGACAAAATGAGGATGACCACCACGACCCCATTGAAAGCGAAGAAGAGGAATCAGCAAACACGAGCCCAATGCCTGATGAGAGTGGGAATTCAGTTTCCAGATCCGAAATGGATTGAACTTTTGCAGGAGCCAAACCCTAAAAGGGCAGTGGCTTAAAGAACTAATGGTTGTGCTGTAAGAACCAGCAAAACCAAGGCGGGGTGTTCAACATTTCATCCCCATGCAGTGCCAAGCATGTGCAGTAGGACCATGTTGCAGAAAGCCGTGCAGCAAGGATGACACGCACAAACTGAAGGCGTTTGCAAGTCAAGGTGCCGAAGACCCGCTCCAGCGTTGCAAGTATACATAACTTATACGTAATAAACCCCGAATGTGTTATGTTTGGTTTTCAAAGTAAATTGTTCTGGTCGATTTCATTTTTTGTTTTTGTTTTCACTTTCCACATCCTGTGACTGCCCCAGGAAATTGTTTCCACATGCGAAAGATGAAGAACCGACTCCTTCAGAGTGACGTGGCAGCACTGGAAAGAGCCAAGATTGCCTGGAAGAACAGTGATTAACATGTGGCATATGTGACATATGTGACCTGTTCTTGATGATTTACCATGACTTGTCCACATTCTGGCTATGCAAAACATTGACACGACATGTCCACTCACTGTTTTTTGAGGATTAAGTGTTGTCCATAAAGTAACGGTTCTTGTTGCTTGGATACTCATTTCGTACAGATTGGCTAAACTTTATTTTTGGGTGAAATGCTCCGTGTGTTGCTTAGATAAACATCCTTTCCTTTCACCTTTGTTAGAACATGTTGGAACCAGTTTTGTGGTTTGCTGGATCAAATCTGATCAAATTGAATGCCGCAATTTTGGTTGGTTAATTCACAGTTTTTGCAAAGGTATGATCCCAATTCTTTATTGGTGAACTTGGATCCCATTGTCTTGGTTATTTCGAATCCCTATTTTTGTTAGTTAACTGAGTGTTTATGGCTGGATGGATTCCAAACTTTGTTGTTTAATCTGTGACTCCCATAAACTGATTCCCCACCTTTCAGGTGAGGATCTCATCGTCGATCTTGTGTTAGTGCCTCCTCTTCTTTCCTCCTCGCCTCTCATAGCAAACTCACAGTGTCAGAGACTAGTGCACTCAGAATACATGTCAGAGTAGTCAAAATATACGGAAGGAGAAGTGTTTGTTAGAATTTGTGTTCGAATGAATTAGGGTTTGCGCGTGCCGTTTTGTCAGAATGTTTGTATTCCAGCCGGGCTCACTCAAAGTAGACAAACTTGTTTCTTGGCTAACTCGGTGTTCATTATGCCCATTTTTGCGCCGCGCCTCAGATTCGGAACTCTCATTCAAAGAGGTTGCACCTTGGTGTTGGACCGTGGAGTGTGCGTGGGGGCATACAACGAACAAAGGATGTGGAGCTGACATGATTTTGACCCAGCCAATGGCAATTTAGGAAACACGTAGGGTGCATGTAACCAAGCAGATGCGGATCTAACCAACAACAATAGGATGATTGTAGCAGGTTTCCAGGATGGGAATGGGTTTGCCCGCGCTGTACTGGGAACAATATTACACAAAATACACAAAATATGCAATGTGTACAGAATTACTCCAAGCACACCTTATATACCTTCGTTTGGCAAAAATAACACCCTTAACTCTAAAACCTTAAAGCCTGAAACTCCAATACCCTAGGAGGTTATATATGTTATATCCTCAAACCCTAAACATAAATCATAGGAAACCCTGTTGTTTTCAAGCAAAACATGATGAGATGTGGACATCGAGGTGGAGAAATTCCTGGAGTGCAAAGGCACCCAAAGCATCCTGGACATCGCCATAGAAAGGACGACTGGGCGCCGAGTCCTGTGCCCCTCTGGGATGTTTAGATATTCAAAGTATGCAGATCCGAAGAGTTTATATATACATATATGTATATGTAATATAGTATTTATAATTGTATATATATATATTGTACATTATATTATATATATTATATACATTGTATATTATATTATATATTTTACATTTTATATTAAATATTATATTTATATTTTGATATATATATATATACATAATTATATATTATACTATACTTTAGTATACTATACTATACAATTATATTTTATTACATTATATATTATATATATTAGTTGTTCTATGTATTTTCTATGTTCATGGATAATTTGTAAATGGTTTAAGTCTCCATTGGATTCCGTAACATGAATCATTGGATGCCATCTGTTTGGAGAGTGGGGACTACTAGAATGGACGCAAAGAATTTAATCTGAGTGTGGATAATGCTTCCACAATGTTCCACTTCTCTTGGAAACACTTTGGCAAGTATAAAATTCAACAAATACTTTCTGTCAGAAATTTGGGGACTTTGGCTTTTCAACGTTGTTTACTGTATGGAGGGAAATAATGCCCATGTCAATGTGGTTATTCTTGCTGATTGCTGCGGATTATATCCCTGTCATTGTTGACACTTGTTGCATTACCATGCTTTTAGATCCTCTCAGCATGGATTGTTGACTGCAGCTTATTTGTTTTGGCTAGATACCGATGTTTTGTTTACTACTACAGACTACAGATATGCTCTTTTGTTGATGCTATGATCGTCAGTCAAGTGTAAACACTTGTCGGCTATGTGGCCCTTCATATTCCAAAAAAATGTATATTTTGGTAGCAGTTAAAACTCTCCGTAGGAAACCTGTGCTTGATTGAAACTATGTAACAAGAACATTACACATTCTAAGATCCTGGCTTTACTCAAGTCCCTTCACCTTTCCCCTTCTCTCGATCGTATCACCATATACGATAGCTGGCTCAATGGCCACTGTGATTGGTTGAGTGTCTTTTTTGTGATTAAGTCTCAATTTGTTGCTGCTTTAAATGCGACTCCTTTGAGTTCTCTCATGTTTTGTTTTCTTCATAAACTGACTAAACCGACCTTGTTTCATAGTTCGCATGTTTATGTTTTGATGGTGTTGACTGGTTATATCTCTGTCAGATTCCATCTTGGGTTGTTGGCAGATCGAGGTTCTTTTGAAGTCCCTTTTTAAATCTTTTGAGGGGGAGGCTATGATTATTGCTAATGGATCGCGATTTGGGTTGCTTCAATGACCCATGATCAGGCGATGGGAGTATCCTGGCAGTTGACAATCCCACATCGATATCTATGTATATACAACACATGTGTATATATATATATACACAGAATTATATATATATATATACAGAGTTATATATACATATATATATATATCTAGATATACATAATTATAAGATATATATATATATATATACATGTGCATATTTTTAATATAGATGTACATATTTATACATATAATTATATATACTGTATATATATATATACATGATGTTCCTCTTGCAACTGGGGATTGCATGCTACCATGCTTGATTACCATGCTTGATTGCCAGGAGTTATCAATATAATGATATACGCGGATATAACAAATCCGCGCCAGATCAGATGTTCGCCGATTCGCTAATGCCCGAATCTTCCACTAGAACAAAGTTATGAATTTGTCACCAGAGGATGAATACTGGCCAAATTTATGTTTCCAGGATTTAACTTCACGGTTTCGATGTTTCGATGTTTGGAGTTGGTTGTTCTGGAACACTGGCCCTTCGCTGGGATTTGAGCATGTCAAAGGACATGATCCGGTGAGTTCCCCGGTTGACTTCATCAAACCTCCATGATTTTGGTTTGTTGAACTCCCAGGTTTGACGGGCAGATGATACCATCGTACCTCCCAACTCACATAGACCGTGAGAATTGCGGATTTTAAGAAAAAAGTGGTCCTCGAATGCCCATATTCGCAGGGTCTTGTTCAAATGCGAAGGGTGTAGATAATATCCAAGTAGTTCACATTAAATCCCTTTATAGACCCCATTATATCCCATTCTGTATAGTATAGAGATCAATGACACTATCCCCAGGAGCCTGTTGCAATTCGATGCCTTGCGGCTCATCTGGAAGCTCCGCAGCGATGCGGACGAGCGGAGCCTTGGATCATGGGAAACCATTGGAAACCGGGTTAAAAACCATGGGGAATAGATCATGATACATCCTATCACCCTCAGGAGCTTTAATGAAACATGGATCATAAACAGTTTATAATATTTTATAATCAGCGAAAAATGGGAATGCACCCATTATCCTCGGATATATATATATATATATAATAAACATTGTGTATACAATACACAAGTTTATTTGCTTATTTTTCACTTAGAATACCATGCCCCACCAAACCCCCAGCCACCACAGACTCTGAGAATCGCCCAATGAGTGGCCCAGCCCAGGCTTAGTTGAATGGAGGGTTGCAAATATTGCTGGGATTGGGTTGAAGCAACAAACAGATACAAACAGGAAGTACATAGTTCATCATAGTTGTGTTTAGGACATTTAAAAGGAGCAAACATTGTTTCTTTTGTTAATGAAATTTATTGCCTGCAGAAATGGGCTGACAAAATCGTCCCAATTTGGATGATCCCAAGAAGATGTCCGGATTGGGCCCTGGGATGCTATAGCCTGTTCCCCAGCATAGTGTGTTTGCCTCTGATTTGAGCAACCAACATCCTTGTTCATGACAATTTAGAGGGGGTTATACTGCCTGATTTGTTCGGAATTCTTGTGACTCACTATGGGAAGCCTGTTGTAAACCGACGGGTTTAACGGGATGACACGTGACACACCTGGAGCATCGCAATAATGAAATTGAGATGGGGATTGATCAATGTGTGTAACAAGATACTTGGGGGATGAACATCCAGTTACCAGTTACGTGTGAGTTTATTTGCTATTCACCAGAGTATTGGGGTTAAGGCCCAGCATTAGAAAATGTGGTTTTTCACAGGATACCAGAACGAATTGGAGTCAACCATGTGGTGAAGATCCAACAACCAATGGGTGAAAACCTTGCGGTTATGTCTCACGGTATTCCAACTAGATTCAATGCCATAGCCCTATGCTTCTTGGGTAAATCAACTGGGTATTGATTGTTGTCATACTGCATTATCATACTATTTATATCATTTTATATCATTATATACCAATAGTTTTCTGAGTGTTCGTTGATTATATATATATATAATATATCCTATGGATCTTCCCATCATATTCCCATGATACATATATTTTGTTACATTACCCTCCAGTATATAAAGATACAAAAAGATATGGAAATCCATGGTTTTCCCTTTAAAAAATGATCTAAACTGTTTGAATTGACAACTGCTATGTTAGTTTACTGGATGAATCCTTGTCATATACACATTAAATGCCCATTAATAGTCTATATTGGCTGAATCCCCATTGTGTATATTAAACATGGAAGATTCTCTGAGTCCCAGGAGATGGCGTCAATTCCTCGGGAGCCAAGGGTCCTTTGGCAGGCTTTTAGCTGGGAAGATCATCGACGATTTTCCAGCCATGTTTGATTGCCGGAGGGAAACCATTGATGTGATGAAGATGTCATGCGTCCCATAATTCTACCGCAGTCCGTTTTAGGGGTCGAAATTATGCCACTCAAATGGACGCTGGAACAAGTACCTGCTTGAAAGTGTTTGGGCATTGGGTTTGGGGTTCCAGTATGGTTCTAAGGTCGGCCTCACGGGAGTTTTCAACAATTGGGACCAACCATCAAGACATGGGGCTATTCATCAAGACATGGGGGAAAAACTTCTGGGTAGGAGACATGTAAGGGACAGGGACAAATATATGAGTTTTCCTAAAAATCGTAGAGATGCGACCTTCGCAAGTAGTGATACCTCCTGTATATTGTATAAGGTTATCTCATATTTTACAAAAGAAAGCTTGCAGCTTGCGCCAGCCAAGTAGATCACATATTTTTCTCTGAGGGATAACCCCCAAGTAGGACATTTCAAGAGCGCACCATTCCTGTTGGTGTTGGTGAAATCCCGTCAGAATATGGTTGGTTATCTACAGTATATCCCCATGATATTCCAATAGAAAATCCCCATGCCATGACCCATTCCCAGGCAATATCCCCTATTATCCCCTATTATTGTTGCTTAAAAATCCAGTATTTCCTAACCTGCTGCGTTGGTTCAACTCCCAAATCTGAACCAACGGCCGGCCAAGGACAAAGATCACTTTGGACCAAGGATTTACGAAGGCCCTTCATGTCGGTGAAAACTTAAGGAATCAACCAGGGGCATTGATCGGGGTTTGAGTCATGAAGTACGTTTGAGATGGATATTGTTTAGTTTAGTTGTCACTAATCCCTTCCCCTAATATGTAATAACCCCCTGGTTTCAAGCCGGGAATAATGTATTGGGTCATATTGGATCTATTTATTTTTGGTGCCACGTCATGACTGTTATATCAGGCCTACCATCTGGGGTTTTATATAGGCTATACGTATGGAGAATAGTACCATTGTTACCAGGTAAATCACCAAACTAAATGGGCCATCTGAACCATAGCTATGTCAAGTTGCCGGAGGGTATCATGTATCATGACCTGGCAACACATGGCGTCCACCCACTACCGCTGTTGATGATGTTGGAGAAACCGCTAGGCTTAATGGAGCATATCGGAGAATAGTGTGCAGACTGGTATGCACCATTGCTGCAAAAAAAACCATGTTGACCAGTTGTAACACTCTTAAATCATGATTTTCTGATGTTCTATCCTGTCTTGTCCCTATGATGGTTGAATCAACAACATGTTTGTTGAGGGGTAAATGTTGAACCCTCCTATCTGTGGAATTTGGCACATGCACCATATTATGTGGTAGTGAATTGTTAAATCCCGGCATTTGGATATACGCCATGGATCCGAATCCCTAACGGATCCGTTTGACTCCAAGAACTGGATCCGAAAGGGGACGAGAAAAACATCAAGAAATGTCCCATGAGATCCCATTAAATCCGGACCATCATTACCATACGCCATTAATCCATATTGATCCCACATATTCCCACATCATGTTGAATAATCCCCAGTCCCCCTATTGCAATCCATTATGATCCCTATTGTTGATGATTAAGTCCATACAATAACTGATGACATCCCAGACCATAAACCATAGCCAACTGTTAAATTACCAGAGGGTAACTGGAAGGCGGTGATCAATCCATCAATACACATGAGCATAGGCATTTATCTACACCCGCTTTAATTAACATGCAGCATCATTATAACACAACAGATACAGTAAACAAATAAATATGTGTCTAGCGATGTTGTTCCATGTTTGTTTGGTTTGGGGGCGAGTAAACGAGGAACACCTATCTCAAAACGGATGGGCGCAAAAATAAACATGAACTTCCAGGACCCCTTTTGTGGGGTCTCCTGCAAGGGTCTACGTTTAAAACAGCAAAAAGGTTTAGCATTTTGAGTTGCGGGATGACAATAAACCGTAAAGCATCGTATAGCATGTACTATAACTTGACCAGGGGAATATGAAATCCCAACTGCAGGCCGTCGAGTGCGATCGTTTGCACGACGAGATCAGCCGTGCAGTTCAAGAGTTTCTGCGCCTCGACTCTAAAACTAGTAACAAGAGGCGATTAAGCAGCAAACATTAGTTGTGCACAGTAATCTAACATATATACAACATTATACAACTATGTATATATACACATATACAAATCTAAGTATGTATATATATATATGCATGTATATGATTATATAAGCATATATATATATACACGTATGTATAGACATATTTACATACATACATGCATATATACATACATATATGTACATATATATATATACATAATATATATATATATATACATAATATATATTTATACATTAATATATATATATATACTCATACAATTCGAAATATATACATATCGTATCTTTTTTTTAATATCTGGATATCAGATATATAGACAATCATGCTTAATTATCAGATATTATATATGTATATATAAACAAAAACACACACACACACACATAGACGTAACATGTATGCACACTTTTTGTGATCTCTATTGGTGTCGGTGAGTTTTATTCCTTCCTTTTCCCGGTTCTATCGCCCGACCCGGGTTCTGTCGATTGGCCAAGGTTGACCAAGGGAAAAGTCATCCTGTTTTGGGCTGCTGTTGGGGTTTTCTGTGTTAATAAATCTTACAGTAGTAAAGCAATAGGATCCACCATCCCCAATTTTGCCGTTCTTATGGCTTGTAAAACCATCAGAAGTTGGGTGGTTTATGGCACTACATGATGATGACATGATGATTTGTATCCTCAACGTATTTAATTAGTCATTGTTATACACCCTTCTTTTGGTAACGTTCCCATATTCCCAACAAAACCCAACAAAACATCCCATTATTGTGGTAATACCACCATTGTATCCCATCATATTGAGAATTATATACTGTTTGCATGATATCCCATGAACAATATATCCTCGTGTATTTCCCGTGTCCATTCATTGTTGTAAATATGATTGACATTATGATATCTTATTATGATGGGGATATAGCCATCATTAGTATTTAGCATTTAGTACTTAGTATTTAGTAATGTGATATCCCATCAGCGTCCAGTCATCAAACGTGGCAAGGACATTGGCACCTCCATTTAGTTCGGGGGGACTTCCCAGCCAGCCATGTTTGAAGACACCGACGGGTAATCCCCGTGATTCATGGTGAAATCCCATAGAAAATCCCGTTAAATCCAGGGTGTTTACCGATCCAACGAAACATCAATTGATTAATGCCGCCAAGGCAGCAACCATCCGACGTCACCTGGTGGACCTGCTATTGGAAGATCAGAGAATGCCCAAGGCGTTGTTTTTGACTTCGGGGACCGGAGTTTGGGCATGTTTTTGCAAGGACAAAATTGAAATGAGACACGCCTGTTTGTATGATTTTGGGCACAATTCATGGAAACATTCATGGAACTTTAAGCTCTGCATGTGATTGGTGGTTTATTTTTTGTTGATTTCTATTGCCAACATGGGATGATCATCTGAACTAAACGGAGGTTGGAATGGGAGCATCATTGAAAACGATGGGGAAAATTTCCGTTGCCGTGTTTGATTGCTGGAAGATAACGTCATGTATTGAGATTCAAGAACGTCATTGCTTAACCTGGATGGCCCTGATTCCGAATGTGCCACGAGTTTTTCCCTTGGTGCATCCCAATGAGTGAATAGAATAGCACGGGTAGACTATGGCTACGCACGTCATTGTTGCTTACTCACAATTACTATCCAGTGTATTTACCATACATCAAGGATTACAGTACCCATTTGATATCTTAGGATTCATATTGTTATTCTATGTTTTATGTTTTATTTTTTGCAATGTGTCTGGTTTTATGTAATATTTATGGATATAATATGTGCGTTTGTCATCGTATTACGGTTGAAATTGTTCGAATCCACTTTGTTATTCAGGATACTTGTCATCTCAACAAATATGGTTATTACATGTTATTAATCACTAGTTATGGTTAGATACTTTAGCACTTTAATCTTGTGCGATTTCAATCTTGTGCGATTTCAATGGTAAAATTACCTCCAGGCCGGGGGTGGCTCCCGCAGGGCGGCAGCCTTGGCCCCTGGAGGTATATCTACATACAGTTATATCGATAGGTATAACATGGTATAAGGGTATACCTACTGTATATATCATGAAGGGCAAAATATTGGATAAAGAGGATCTTAAATCCCCACCCCTGCCATAAACTTTACATTCATTGAAGAGTTCAAGAACGGGGTTTAGGGTTACATGAAGAGGGTATCAAATCCTTACCCCCCTCCCAAGCCCCTACATTCATTGAAGAGTCAAATAAAGGGGACGATCCTACAGGGGACTCAATTTATGCGCCTTGCAATAGGATGCTCAAGATGGAGTGGCTTCAGCAGTTGTTGTTGTTGTTGTTGATGATGATGTTGTTGATGATGATGATGATGATGGCAATTGTTGTCATCCATTCGGCCAATCCGACGACATCCCGAATTGCATAAAACACTGGCCCTGCACAGTCAAAGCGCAGTTCCCCAGGCAGCACCTCCGTCCTGGCCATAAAATTGGTTCTAATATGTACTAATTAGATCTAATTAGATCTAATTAGTACTACTGTAACCTGATATTTTTTGGTAGGTATGTAAAATTCACCATGTTCCATCCCCCCAGCCTGTCCCATCGGCAGGTGCTGCCTGGATTTTGCTGCGTTCCTCCAAGCCACGCAGCTGCCCGAAGCACTGCATGCGTGCGGCTGGCATCGCTGGGAGGGCAGCTGGACCCTTCCAATTCGCCAGCGACCTGGAGAAAAACCGTAGGGGGAAATGGGTCATAAATCCATAGGACAGCCTAGCCAACAAAAAGGGATATGAATGTTCCTTTTTACTGGTGATTCATGGTGATTAATGGTTATTTGAAATGACACCAACAAAACGTAGGGATTTTTTGTTGCAAACATGGGGGTTTAAAGATATGGATTCGTGGCAAAATGATGGCCGTTTAGTTCGGCAATTTTAAGCTGGAAAACCACTAGTGGTTATATGGTCTTACATGGAGGATATTAGGCAGGAAGTTGGCAATGCAAAGCGCTTGGAAACAGGACGCATCTATTGACCAACATGTATGACAATATTTTTTAACTCCCTGTCATATGAAAAAAACAAAACAAAACAATGGGTGTGAACATATTTTGTCGTCGTCGTTGTTGTTTACCTAGAATGACCCGTCGTGCCAATCATATGCTATTTGTTTGGCCATCACCTGAGAGGGCCTTATGGTTGGACATGGTGTGTGTGCGCGCGCACCACTTGTCCTCCGAGATAGTGTGTCTGAAATATGCTGAGTTATACGTAAAGTATATATAGTTATTTCATGTTTTTCGAAGCTTCCGCCGCGGCGCGTGCCGGGCACTACCTGGTATATATAACTGTGGGACACTGAAAGATCCGGCCAGATAATAAGTCTGTATATATACGTATATATAATATGTATTACATACACGGTTCCAAGTTTTGACGGTCATCCGCGGATGAAGTCTTGATTTGTTGCAGCGGTTTGCGACTGTTAAGGATCTTTTATACGCACGACACCATATCCAGACGCTTCAAAGACGGTAGAGCTGCTTGTCTGCAACGCTCGTTGTGGTTCTATCCATGCTGAAGGGGCGGGTTAAGATTTTTCGGGTGTTTTTTTGACCACGGATAGATATGATTTAGTGATACATGTATGTATATATATAATAGATATACACATATATATACATGAAACTGCAAAACTACATGGTCAAGGTATATCGGCAAATGCCTGGGCTTTGCCCGGACCGGCGATGACGACAGGCGACGCATCATCATCATCATCATCATCATCGTCATCATCATCAGAAGTACTGTAAACCCTTATTGAAGATCTTCAATGAATGTAGAAGTGTAACGGGGGTGGGAAAATTAAACCCTTATTGAAGATCTTCAATGAATGTAGAAGTTTAACGGGGGTGGGAGAATTAAACCCTTACTGAAGATCTTCAGTGATTGTAGAAGTTTAATGGGGATGGCAGAGGTAAACCCTTCTTGAAGATCTTCAATGAATGTAGAAGTTTAACAGTGGTGGGAGAATTAAACCTTTATTGAAGATCTTCAATGAATGTAGAAGTTTAACGGGGGTGGGAGAATTAAACCCTTACTGAAGATCTTCAGTGAATGCAGAAGTTTAACGGGGGTGGGAGTTGAATATTCCCTAGTATTATGAAAAACTTGCAGCCACAGACTGGGCCAGGTCAAAATATTTATTTTTTCATTTTTTTATCATTTTGGTTATCATTGCATTCATCATTTTTTTTATCATTTATTTTATCATCTTCATTTTTTTCATCATTTTTTTATCATTTTTTTAATCATTTTTTTATCATTTTTTATCATTGTTTTTATCATTTTTTTATCTTTTTGGCTTCCAGTGGTGGAATTGGTGAAAAATGATAAAAAGTGAGGAAAAATGAAAAAAAAATCAAAAAAAATGAAAAAAAATGAAAAAAAAATGATAAAAAAATGAAAACAAATTAAAAAAACTCGAGGAAAATTGTAATTTTCCATTTCTTGGAAAATTTTTGCACCACTGGAAGCAAAAATGGTGAAAAATGATAAAAACATGAAAAAAAATGAAAAAAAAATGAAAAAAAATGAAAAAAAATGAAAAAAAAATGAAAAAAATGAAAAAAACTCGAGGAAAATTGTAATTTTCCATTTCTTGGAAAATTTTTGCATCACTGGAAGCAAAAATGATGAAACGCGATAAAAAAATGAAAAAAAAATGAAAAAAATAAAAAAAAATGAAAAAAATGAAAAAAACTCGAGGAAAATTGTAATTTTTCATTTTTTGGAAAATTGCAATTTTCCTTTCATTTTTTTTCATTTTTTGCATCTTTTTATCATTTTTGCTTCCACCTCGAGTTTTTTTTTCATTTTTTTCATTTTTTTTCATTTTTTTATCATTTTTGCTTCCGGTGGTGGAATTGATGAAAAATGATAAAAAGTGAGGAAAAATGAAAAAAAAAATGAAAAAACAATGGAAAAAAAATGAAAAAAATGAAAAAAATGAAAAAAACTCGAGGAACATTGTAATTTTCCATTTCTTGGAAAATTTTTGCACCACTGGAAGCAAAAATGATGAAAAATGATAAAAAAAATGATTAAAACAATGATAAAAAAATGATAAACATGATAAAAAAAATAATAAAAACATGATTAAAAAATGATAAAAAAATGAAGATGATAAAATAAATGATAAAAAAAATGATGAATGCAATGATAACCAAAATGATAAAAAAATGAAAAAATAAATATTTTAAAGATTTCCAATGTGTAGCTGGCTCGGTTCTTCATAACCCTAGTACCTTTGTTGATTTTCCCAATTGAATGTAAAGTTTAACGGGGGTGGGATTTTTATATTCCCTAGTACTTTTGTTGTTTTTCCCATAGGAATTTAAAATTTAACGGGGGTGGGAGTTGAATATTCCCTAGTACCTTTGTTGATTTTCCCAATTGAATGTAAAGTTTAACGGGGGTGGGAGTTTAATATTCCCTAGTACTTTTGTTGTTTTTCCCATAGGAATTTTGTGAAGTTGCATCAACATTTGTTTGGAAATGGGAACCTCTACGCTGCAACGCCTGGGCAAAGCCCAGGCGTTGCGCGTATGTGTGTATATATATATAATAGATATATATATATAGAATATTTATATATGTATATATATATATATATACATGAAACTGCAAAACTTCATGATCAAGGTCAGGTATGCTGTTTGTCTTTTTGATACCATCCACTGCAAGGTTTGCCGTCCGTCCTGGGGTTTGCCTGTAGTTTTTGTTCATTGAGCTTGGGTTTGCTCTGCTAACATAATCATTTCTCCGACATTTCGCAGTTTGTTCTTTTGTTTTTTCGAGGTGTGTCAGCCTAAGAATATCTTTGTATTATTCCATCGTATTCCCACATAGGTTTAGCTATGCACACATCGGAAAATCCCATTGAAAGCTGGATTGTGATTGGGACTTCGCCTGAAAGACCTCTGGTTGGATCCTGGAGTATGGACGGTTGAATCCAGTGGTACTGCAGAGATGTTGGTTTTGTTGGTGATCCACATGTAGAAATCACGAACTATATGCATGTCAAAACCACTTGCCGTTAATTTTTGTGTTGAGCCCGGGAGATAAACATGGCAAAAAACAAACGAACCCCACATTTGCGGATGATGAAAACACATAAATTCAGGATGGAAGCTGATGCCTTTGCTCTATCCGCACAGCCCTTCAGGCACTACAAACCACACTGGCGGAGCTGCTGAACGATCCCCGCAAACTGCAGGACATTGGGGCACTGAATGGTCGCCGTAGCCATCCATTGTTGACGTTGAAGTAATCTGGTAAACCCAAAAATAAACCTAGCATTTGGGGATGATTGTTCCCACCCATTTATCGTAACAGTAAGGACGGTTTATTTTTGAGTTTACGGCATTAGGTGAAAACCTATAGATTCGTGTAGAGGACCCACGTGTATATTATACTAATCCTATTTTTTTGAACATGGGAACCAAGATATAGGAGAATGGAAATTCTTTTCATTCGATATTCCAGATACTGTTGGTGGATTTGCTACCTCGCCTGGATACAGTCTATTATGTTCTTAATATACCTCCAAAGCAACCTGTTCAAAACCGAAAAGACATATCAAAGACATTCAAAGACAACATAATGCAAACTTCCATTTTCTCAGATCACTGGAACCTGAATTTCTCATGAAAAGTCGTCCCACAAACGAAATTCATATGCAGAATATTATTTGATTATTTGGTATGTTCCAATCGGCGAACCATCATGGCAGCAAACATCAGGGGCTGCTTAATGATTTTCAGGGGCCATCTCAATCTAAGTCCGATTTTATGCAGACATCACGGGAGTTTCCGAACATCGGGGTATCCCAAATCATCCAGAATTAGGCCATGACTTAGACCCATGGTGACTTGGGGTACGTCCATGTTAGGAAACCTCCTCACAGGTTGACACCTCACATCGGAGGACATTCCGCCGATGCGTGTGATGTTTTACCACGGCAAGTTCCACAGCATTGACAATCGCCGACTGCAGCTGGGCGACAAATGTTGAGAGGAAAGCGTTTCTTTTTCTTTGCGACCATCAAGAACACGGTTTTACAAGGTTTTATGCCACTATCTGGTAATTTCATGTAATTTCACTATATGTACCATCATTGATGTTGGTTAAGTCCACTTTAAAGCATATACCCTCTCGTACTCTAACGTGGCTCATTAGATGGCCCATTTAGTTCATTGATTTACTTATCAAAAATGCGGGTTTTCCATAGCTATGTTGATTTACTTGAGGGTAAACCAATCGTGGAATTCATGCCCAGGGGGTCATACCACAAAAACGGAGTGCTGTGGGTGTAAGCCCAAGATCTCTGTTGAATTCTGTTTGAAACGGCTTGAATCTCAACTGTAGTTAGCTTAAATCTCCGCGATTGGGTTAAACCACCTTGTTGGTTCATGTTGGTTCAATCTCCGCCTTTCCACTGCCTAGATCCAAATTTATTGTTGCTAAAACCACCGTAGATGTCATAAATCACCATTTCTGCTACTAAAATCGGCATTTTAGTTTAAACTAGCATGTTATGTGTTGTTTATATTGATGAAATCACCATTTTGGTTGCTGAAATCACCTGAAAAATCCACAAATCACATTTTGGTTGTGGCTTGACAGAGCCACTAGGTGGTGCTTGAAGCAGTTGGCTGAGCACACGAACAACGCTGACCTCAGGGTGACAGTGGAGCTGCACGCCATGGCCGGAGCGTCAAGGAGCCAACGCGTGGCTGGAAGGCGGGCAACGGAGACCGGGGAGATGGGGATACCGTAGGGAAAACATGGAGAAAGATGATGAAAGATGTGGAAAACCCATGGTTTCCTCGGAACATGATCGTTGGTGGGTAAACTCCAGAACTGTTAGTTTACGGGAGGGTATACCCTGTGGATCCAGCCGTACCTTCTTAGGAAGTATTTGGGGGCTGATCTAGGGGCTCAAGTAATCTTAAGATATCTTAAGTACCTTTTCAGCACGTGCTGTATGATGGGGATATATACTTAGACCCTCCGGTTGTACCGAAAAACGCGGTAAAATGATGGATGGTAAACTCCGCAGGCAGTTTCAATACCTAGTATTTTCGCGTAAGTTCTAGCGACCCAATTTGACCTCACCGTAGATGGTGGTTCAGTTCACCGGAGTGTTGTTTCTCCAGATATGACGGGGATCATACCAACTTATTTATCTGCATAAGATAGTGATTAATGGTGACTATTAGTACCAACAATATTCCCGGCAATATGTTTAAGATGGGATTTGAAGGCAATTTCAACATCAAGACCAGTAACAATGTTCATCATGGGATATAATTGACAAGACCTGTGGGGCGGCCTTAAACAAGAATTGGGATAGAATTGTGATGTGATCGCAGATAGAATTTATGAGTCATGAATTCCCGGTGACGCTTTGAACAGCCCATGCAAGGGTATATACCATTTATAGGTGGGATGTTTAATGATTATGACTCACTAACTTGGGATGCACCCCGAAGTGAAGGTTTTACTTGGAAAGCCATGGCTTTTTCGAAGCTTTGAGTATATAGAACTCCGTTTCAGCATGGATTGTACCCAGCCTTTTGCAGAAATTTGGAACGGGTAGACATAACCAACATTCAAGAATTTACCCATATATATATATATATATTATATATATATTATATATATATTATATATATATATGTATTATACAGATATGTATTATGATCATAAATGAAAGGGGAAGATTTTGCTACAACATGGGATTTGGATACCCGATTTTCGACCCAAAACGTTACCAACAAGGATGTCCTTGTTGATCGAGCTTGGGGACTAAAAGGATCCAAAAGGTGTTGAAGACAAGGTTAGTAGAACATCTATACCTTGCAGGGAAGTTCATTCTGACTTTTTCATGTGCCTAGTAGCCGGCCTTGACCCTCAAGCTACTCCCCGAAAATGGCAAAGAGACGAAATGTCTGGGGTAAGCACCCATGTTTGGGGCACATCATATCAAATCACATTATTTCATGTCATTTCAAACTGTGTCATACCATCTCACATCGTTTCATTTCAAATCATATTGTATCATTTCATGACATGACACATCAGTTCATTTCATTTCATGTCATTTCATTTCATGTCATTTCATTTCATGTCATTTCATTTCATGTCATTTCATTTCATGTCATTTGAAAACGTTTAATTTTATACCTTATCACATCATATCATTTCATGTCGCATCATTATCAATTCATGTTCACACAATTTCATATCATATCATATTGTATCAGATCATATCACAGCATTTCATGTTACGTCAAATCAAAACATATCACATCATTTCATATTATCTTAAAGTATATCATTTCACATCACAACATAACATATCATATTGTGTCATGCCATATTACATCATTTCATATCATATCAAGTCAAAACACACTACATGATTTCATTTCATATCATGTCGTTCCATATCATGACATTTCACATCATTTCAGTTCACTTCATATCATACCGTATCATTTTAGATCATATCACATCACCTCATTTCATATCCAAACGTGTTCATCTAATGTAATTTCACATCATTTCATTTCACATCATATCGTATCACATCACATAACTTCATTTCATATCATATCGTATCATATCATTGGTATAAATTCAAATCACATTTGTTCTATTCATTTCATTTCATATCATATCAAATCATATCACATATGTTCATGTCATGTCATGTTGTGTCATATCATGACGTGCATGTCATGTCATTTCATAAAGTATCATACCATGACATCTCACATCATGTTATGTTATGTTGCATCATATTGTATTATGTCATTTCACAATTCATGTCATATTATTTCGTAACATACCATATCACATCATTTCGTTTCTTTTCATATCATAACACATCATATGATATTTTTGCTTTCATATCATATCATCTAATGTAATATCACATTATGTCATTTCATTTCCTATCATATCACATTGTATCATATCATTTCATATCATGCAAGATCATATCAAATCCATGTTTTTGTTCAATGATCACGGCACTGGACCCACCGTGCCATGGCGGTAGGGACTGCGACTTCCTCATGAAATTCTTCGACGCCTTCTCATCCAGGTGCAGCTGATTGAAGCAACTAAATACTTGTCGTATTGCAAAATCATTATATGTTTTTGTCCAATATATATATATGATTATATATTATGTATTCATATAATATAATTGTATTCACATAATCATGATATATGTTTTTGCTAATGGTTGATAAGGTTTCAGAAAAAATGAAAAATGATCCAGAAAAGGTGAAACTTGAACATGATTAGTAAGGCAACATAATGATCAAGCAGTGTTGCTCAGGGTTTAGCAAGGTCTGACATGGTTCAATGTTGATATGTGTCAAGAAAGGTTAATCATGGTTGATATGAATGATGTAATGACCGCCCTATGACGATGATAAGACATGCCATTATAGGCGTTTTGTTATAGGAACAATTTGATTATACATAATGCGCGTTATCCAGACAGTTGGGCCATTATCCAATAAATAGGATCGAAGCTCAACTGTTGGTGTTTGGGATACCCAGTTCAGTAGTATGAATCAGGGTCTACGTAAACTTAACAGCTTTAAGATGCTTTAAGTCGACTGGGAGAATACAATTGAAATTCAACCTGAAAGGAACTGGCTTTTTGGACAACCCCTGAAACCGAAACATTGAGACGATCGATGAATGTCTCCATTTGGGTTTACACCCCCTCGCCTCAAAGGTGCCCATTTTCCCGAGAAGGCTGTTGAATTACCAGAGGGGAGCCCACCTGATAGGCCTGATAGGCCTGATTTCTCCAATCCGTCTACATATAACAAAATTAGCTATATTTGTTCAGAATGTTTACCCTGAACAAGATAGACAAACAAGTTAATTACAGCTTGTTCAAAATCAGATATCTCTTCTACTAAGCCCCCAAAAAAAACTAGAAAAATAGTTCATCACTCTTTTCGTTGGAGTTTGCTTGTCTATCTTCTTGGGTTTTGCGACAGAAAAATCAACAAACCAATGGGCTACTGCTTCGCCGTTGAGCTTTCAGGTGCGAAGGGACGAGAGTAGAGTGGTTTAATGGTTCGCGCTCAAAGGCATGAGCCAAAACAAGATCTGCAAATTTGAGAGAGAATCATTGTGTAAATGTATGTGATGAAATGTAATGTGATGTGATGTGATGTAACGAAATGTAATCTGATGCGATGTGATGTGACGTGCTGTAATGTGATATGATGTGATGCAATGTAATGTGATGTGTTGTGATGTGTTGTAATGTAATGTGGTCTGATGTGATGTAATGTAATGTAGTGTGATGTCATGTGATTTGATGTGATGTCATGTGATGTCATGTGATGTGATGTGTTGTGATGTTTTGTGATGTGATGTAATGTGATACGATGTGATGCAGTGTAATGTGATGTTGTGATGTGATGTGATTTAATGTGATGTATTATAATGTGTTGTAATGTAGTGTGATGTGATGAGATGTGATGTGATGTAGTGGAATGCAATGTAATGCAATGTATGTAAAGATTTACTGGCACTGACAGCATTTTAGGTGTTTTGAGATTTTGCAGATTTAGAGGTTTGCATCCCTTTCTGCACCTGTGCTGGAAAGACAGTGACCTTGTGATGTGGGACAGGAGTCAGAACAGATAGCAACAAAAGATATCAAATGGAATTCCCACGAAATGGATTACCTAAATCCCGGAAAGGGTACCAATCGACTAGCAGTCGGACTTCCAGATGTATCCGACGGTATCTCCGTTATTGGGCAAGGATGGCAAGGGTAGAACAGATCCAGTATAGAACAAATCGGGTGATTTTCATTTGAGCCGTGCCTGGCTTGAAAGCATTTACCTTTGTGTTTGTTTCGTCAGGGTTCACTGATAAGGATATAATACACCAACAATGTTTTTGCCTTAATAAATTATCATTTCATACCACTCTTTGGAAGGGTTAAACTTCATTGAGCCCTCGAAACTTGTCGTGAACACAGCTGTCCCAACACAGAAATCGGCGGTGTGCCCGGTCCGCGTCAAGCGACAATTTCTCGAAAGACTAAAAGGATGCTGCTTGCACTGTACGGTCTGTGCCGTCCAAAAAGACCTGGCACCCCCAAATGCTATGTTTTTCAGGTTTATATAGGTTTATCTAACACTTTATCATATTATATATTGTACCATGTTTTTGTCATTAAAGTTAAAATTGCAATGTTTGGGTATCCTGTTTTCATTCACAATTGTTGGAGGTTTCTTTGTTGGAAATTGTCCATGATTCGGTCTGGCAAACAGAATCTCCTCTGATATGCCATGACCAGAGGAAACCAAGAAAAACACCAGGTGGTTCATGTCATGGAAGTAGGTGGGAAAAACAATATAGTTCCAGGTGTATGATGAGATAATTGAGATAACAATTTCCTGAAGGATAGTGTCAAGACTGGTTTGTGTCGCCATATGTTTCCGATATGCCTTTCTTGTTGATAATAGCGAACATGTTTTCCTTTCAAATCTTTCAATCTGAAAATTGGTTTTGGGCACATGATTGCAGGAAACTCACATAATTGATTTGAAAGCCAGGGTTTCCTGTATATGGATTCGTTTGAAACACATATACCCCCCAACTCTCATGATTTATCATCAGTTTCCCCGTTGGCTTCGTATTTTTGAAGATGTTCCTCATGTTCAGACACACCTAGATAATCCTAGATAGTATATTATGGTTGGTGACATATCCCCAATTTTACTCATGTTGCTGGTGGTTCAATCCCACACACATAACAGTTTGCTATGGAAACTATGTTCCATTTAGTTCAATCCCATGAAACTCTGAACTTCCGCTCCATCAAATATCCAGCGATATATTATAAATGTCGTTATACAATGTTAAAGATCCCCTTCTTGTGGCAATATCCTTTTTAGGTCCCATGAAAACTAGCCGGTCAAATCCTTATTTTTCAGTCATCAAACCACTATAGCAAATCAAACATGAATCAACACTCAGACCAAAATCCCATGAAATGCCAAGATCTCCCACTGAAAACCCATCAAATCACCACTTTTTCCTGTTCAATCCCATGTTGCTGGGGCTAAGCCGCTTCCAGAGAGATTTCTCCACTCAACCATGACTTCGATCCAATCTTGTGATGGCCAGGTTGTGCTGCCTTACCTGAAGCTCAGCGAGAGGCGGTCTGAGGGCAACGGGGATCAAGGGGATGCAAAATCCTACCCTTCACATGTATATAGAGAGATATACACACAATATTCATCAATATTCATCAAATTCATCAAATTCATACATATATTGATACACATAAAGTCACAAAAATGCAGATGTTGAGACACATAAATTGCTGATCAACCGATCGACCGGTTGGATCTGGAGGGCCCATCCTTGGCCATCCGACCCAACCAGGCTCACAGCAAGACCGAAGAGCTGGGTTCAGAACTTAGTCCCGGGAGCTGGGTAGGTCCTGATGCGCTGAGATTTGCCCCGTTTTCTTTGAGGAAAGTTACTAAGTCTTTCCCCAACGGGGGTTGAAGAGTCTTTGTTGAGGGGGATAGTGATGCATTTGCACGGATGGTTGAGTGATTTTTGTTATTTTCCTTATTTATTTAAGTTGAAACCACCAACAAAATTGCAAGTGGACAAGGTCTACTCTGTGAGATCGGTTGCCTCCAGCCCTATATTTTGCTGGGTTCAGTTTATCAATTCAACTAACATGGCCGTGCTGGACACAGCCTGGAAACTCAATGCTTCAAGGGTGCTCCGAAAAGTTGGGATGGGTGCTTACAGTAAGTGGATCAGATACCCTCAAGCAGTTCGAGGTTCCAAGTTTGTCAATGATAACATGTTTCTGTATACAACATGATGTATGTATGGTACTATAGATATATAGATATCATACAACGTATAATATACAATAATATATAGTAATATGATGTAATATGTAATCCAAAATCATCAATACACACTCCAACTACATATTATATGCATGCATGCATAGATGCATAGATAGATAAATGGATGGATGGATGGAGCGATGGATGGATAGATCGATTCATAGATGTATAGATGCATAGGTGCGTAGATGCATAGACAGACAGATAGATAGACAGAAAGACAGACAGACACATAGATAGATAGGTAGACTGATCGATAGGTAGAATGATCGATAGGTAGAAAGAGATAGATGGATGGATGGATGGATGGATAGATAGATAGATAAATAGATAGATAAATAGAAATATCAAGAGATCAATAGATAGAGCAATAGATTGACATATAGACAGATAGACAGATGGATAGGTACATCCACACATACCCATATATACATATATATATATACACACATACACATACACATACAATTACATGCATCTATCCATGGATTCTGTTGTGTCCTAGCAGATCCACGCTTCAGCAGTTCAGTAAACCGACTCGGTTTTAAACTGAGTTCGTTTGCAGCACGAAGAGACAGCGATCCGCTTGCGTTTGGAGGTGGATGGAATTGCCTTTTCAAAGAAAGATAGGGATCCTGTCCTGTTGTTATCTTCGCAGGTGTTTCTTCACTGTGGAAAAGCCTTTTTGGTACGCCTCTAATTTAGGGGAAGCCATACAAGCCATTTCTGGTTGCTCAACCATCCCACCGGTAAACCATCCAAAAAATTGGGGAATTGCTATGGTAATTGCTATGCAGCTTACACATATTTGGGACCATTTGTTTAATCTCAATTAGTAATATACTTCTCTCTCTCTCTATATTACAATACTACAACAATACAATGTCCACTGCCACGTTTGAGGACGCCGGGGCCGGAAGTTTTTGGAATTACGCCCGCCGCCCGCTAATTTAGATCATGACAGGGCCTGACTAGATATGTTCCATGATAGTTCCATTGTATTCCCATTTTTTTTGGCAACTACCTAGATACCACCAAGAATTTTCCATCAACGAAGCTGCTAGTAATACCCTTCATATATTAATAATAATATTAATATTAATATTAATATTTCATAGCTGCTTTTAGAGCCCGGGCAAAACGAGCCCGGGCAAATTTGGGGGAATGACGCCTGGATTAATATTCGGCAGGCTAAATGTCCCCATCAGTATACCAGAGAAGTGACCAGAACCCCTGTTAATTGTAAACTTGGTAATTATTGGGTGTTATACTATCATCAACCATGAACTGACAAAAGTCATAATCAACTGGGAATATTCTACAGCACCCGACAGAATTATGGAAAAAGAAAACGTTTCAATTTACAGGCGCCGCCTGTCTATGATAGAAAAGTTACGAACATTTTTTTTCCATAATTATTTTTTCCATAATTATTTTTTTTCCATAATTCTGTCGGTGACTGTATGTCCATCGATTCGCAATTTGAATGCATTTTAAGGGGGAATATTGAATTATAGAAAATATGTGTCTAAAGATCTGGTATATGCCCCTAAGTCTTCCATTGATATACAATAGCACCACCAAAACTCATTGTTGTACGTACATACATATGCGGGATGTATCCTTTTGCCAAGCCACCAATTGGGTTGATACTACATACTTGCATTTGCATACATATTTCCATAACCCCCCAAAAAAAGGGGTTTGAATTGTGGATCCATGACATGTCCAACAGGTGGAGCCCCAAACATTAATTATGGAAAAACTAATTATGGAAAAAGTAATTATGGAAAAAATAATTATGGAAAAACCGGTCAATCTGCCCTAGCCCCGTGATTTTACAGGAAAAATCAATGATGGAAATAATGGCCACCTCCAAGAATTATGGAAAAAAAAAAGGTTCGGATCACTTCCGGGATATTTTGAACCCTTATGGGGAAAAACCCAATTATGGAAAAATCGGACGCAGGCGCCGCCTGTCTAAGTTGAACGGTTTTTTTTCCATAATTCTGTCGGTTACCATAATATAGTATGACAGATAAGGTACATTATCTGGGTAAATTATAACGACCTCACTGCGACCTCACCATCCCCAAATGGCCTCAATTCAGGTTAGTGAAATATTATAATTTACCCAGACATTATCATCAACTGGGAATCCCGTTCAACAACCATCGATGATCGCAGGCACAGCAGCA